ATGGTGATATTCAGGTACATGCCTGGTCACATGGTATAAACTGAGGTCAACTGTAATTAGAATGTTTTGTCCAAAGATTTTCATTAAAATCTTCTATTTAGTAGTGAATCACGACAATGTGAAAAATCTTCTGAACAACGCAGCAATCAGAAATAAGGTTTTTTTTTAAGTTAACAGAAAGCAAGTCTTAAAAGTGTGTTGCTGAAAGTGATTTTCAATGCATTTTTCATTAAAAAGAAGGGCAGACTGGTGACACTGTTTATAATCTTTATAAAAATTACACAGGAGACCTGCTAGGAAAATAAGCATGACTGAACAGTGCTGAGAAGCCAACATGAGGAGCAAAATATTAAACAAAAGACATTTCTCAGATATGCCTAATATGCTCCGATATCTGTGTGTTTTAGAGGGGGTGCGTGCTGGAGTGCAGGACACTGCAAGCGGACACTCCTCGGGGAGTGACTGGCAGGGCCCTGCCTGCAGGGAGCCTCAGGAGTGAGCAGGGCCCTGCTCCTCGTGGGCTCTGCAGCGTGGGGTTTCAGGAGAGGAAGGGCTTTTGGGGATTACTAGAAACTGCTCAGCCTCTGGTAGAGGTGAGGCTTCCCCTGGTGCTCTTCACTAGAGGGGCCACAGTGAAGAAGAGACAGGCCAGATGCTGGCCTGGGTGCTGCATCCCAGCAGGCAGGCAGTGGGGAGGGGGCTGTTGGCTAAAGAACACCTGCCCTGCCCTGCTCCCAGCACACCACACACACAGGCGCTCCCAGGAAGGCTGTGGTGATCCTGTCTCAGTCCCATATGGCAGTGACACTGCCATTTGCGGTGGTCAGTGCCATGGCATGCCCTACAGTAGAGGGCCAAAGTGACCATGATCTTCAGTCTCTCTCATCAAGGTTAGATAAGAAGGGGTGGTTGACTGAGAGCAATCAGGTTTTAGACCTGCGCTAAAGAGGCTGTTGGAAAGCCACCAGCAGCTGTTGCAACAGATGGTGTCTGGAGAACGACAGCATCCACTGCTGATTGGGAACTGCTGGCCTTGCAGCAGCAGCAGGGCTCGTTTGACATGTTCTGACTTTGCTGCAGCCTCCTGACGTTCAGGGATGTGGGAGGCTTTCAGGCCTCGTGCCTCAGGGAGCTCTGGGGTATGGCGTGGCTGCCTGGGAGAGACACCCACTGTGTTTATGGCCCACTGGGGCAGCCCTCCAGGCTGGGAGGAGCAGGTGGGGTTTGCTTGTGATTCAACACTGACAGTTCTGATGGACACTGGGTGTTGGTGGAGGTACACACTAAGGCTTTAGCAGCCACATTTATGGAACTCATTGCTAATGATCTAAGTCTTTTGCTTATTTCCAAGGCAGACTCCTCACAGGGAGAATGATCTCTGAGGACAGCCTGGGCTTTCATAAAGACTACTGCATACATATTATATTGAGTTTTCTCCTCCCAAGCCAGCTGTGGGATAGTGTGCAGGGAACCTTACAATTTGAAGCACTTACAACCTCAAAATAGCCTCTTATTCATAAGTAGTCCATCAAGGTTAGTATTACATGACTATTATGTGGTAAACCAGAGAGAATCAGGACATCTGGAGGTCACAGAGAGGAGTCCACATAATGTAGTGCATGAAGAGTCTCTCCATTTCTCTAACCAGAATTTATATTTAGAAGGGCATAGTCAGCATATACCATGGTTAATCCTACCATGTGTAGAATTTTCTGCAGGCTTTATCTCCAAATAACCTTTTAGAAGACTCTTAAAACACTGATGAAGGTACTGCCTAATGAGGTAAGTAATGGAAGCTAATGTTAATCAGTGCTGGATGAAGACTCAAAGGAAAAGATGTGCTAAAATACCAAATGTGAGTTTGTTTCTACATTATACTTTTGTTTTATTCAATGTTGAAGTAATTTCTGAGGTGTTATTTTGTCTGAAATATCAAAAGCCCTAAAAAATATTCTAAATTACTTCAACCCTATCCAGTGAAATTATGCCTTTTGGTTAGGAAATGAAAAACCAAAAGCTAAATGCATGTTTTGCACTCAAACATAGCACAGCAGGGAAGAGACTGTACTTAGCCCTGTACTAGTTTTAAAAAACCTTAAAAAGAGAGAAAGTCCTAATGTGAATATGCAGTGATGGTGTATGGAAGATTTAAGATTCGTTTGAAGATAAACCTTTAGCCTCACCCAATTCAACTCAGGCTGGCCAATATCAGTCTTAGTAGAATTTGCTTGACTTAATCCTCTACCATACAATTCCACCTGTGTAATACCTTCTTCTTTCTCAATAAGAAGTTTTATCTGAGTAAAAACATTTACTCTCTCTTTGTTTCCTCTGGATTTTTCTCCTGCACTGAAACCTTTTTAGTAACTCTGGCTCTGTTGTGATATCTTCCATGGAACCCCACTAAACCAGAGAGAGGGTAGAATTTGGCTCTATTTAAAAAGAGTAGCTATTAAAGAAAGGGAAGCTTTAGCCTCATCTGACTTTTTTGTTGTACCTCACAGTTGCAGTTTCTCTGGGAGAACATCTGAAGAGATACACAGACATACAAAAATGGTCCTTTGGTTCTGTGTTGTTTTTTTTTTTTATCCTTTCTTGAATGTCTATCAGTCTCTTGCAAATAATTGTTTGATGGGTAACTTTTTACTGCAGTGATTACAATACTTTGTAATAATTGAGTAGACACTGTGCTTTGATCTAATACTGAAGGGATTAACTTGCCTTTAGAGATTCTACTCCACTATCTTTGTCAGACTGGATAAACAGGAAACCTTGCATCACTTTCTCCTTCTTGACTAACTAGGGTCAATTGTACTTTATGAAGCTAATACCTTGATAGATAAAGAAAAGTGGGAGTGATAGTGATACCTATATTTTAAAGCCTCACCTGGAGGAGAGAAAAGGAAGATGTTGTGAAAGGGAATAGCAGTAACCAACACCATCATAGCTGCACAGCAATGTTCATTTTAATGTCTCTGTGATCAGGAGCTTCTAACTTTCTGCCCTCTTTACCTTGAAGTGAATATCTTCAGGTTTGTATCTTTATGCTTTAAAAACCAGCAATGAAACCCATCTGAAAAAACACCAAACACAGCAAACTGGGTAAAATACTTCACATTTTAAGAAAATTTCTCTGAAAATTTGGTTGTCTTTTTAGAGTTCCTGGTTTTGAAAGATTTGAGGTAATAAAACTTGCCTTTTTCTTGACAGCAGCAAATCTGAGCATAAGTATTGCTGTGAAATTAGTTTCACTGTGATGAAGAATAACGTATTGGGTAGGTGTATATTTCATGTTTTCCATGGTCAAAATCCACCACTGTCCCAGATTCCAGGGGCTCGTGGTAAGAGCAAAGTACAGCTTGTCCTTTGCAAGGGTTGCAGAACTGAACCCTCACTTACAAAGTGCATAGCTAAGAAATTGTTTTGTTTGTATGTGCAGAGTGGGAGTGTTTTGCAGAGCACAAATTGCTACTCACTGTTAGTAACCTGACAGGAGGGGCTCTCAGTATGGCGAAGGAATGACTGGCATTGCACTCATCTTGAACTTCCATGCTTTCAAAACAGCTGATAGATGTGCACATCTGGATTCTAGCCACATAGGCTAATTCTCTCTGACAAGAAGCTGCAGGAGAACTTTTGAAATTAAGCCTTCATTTGATACTTGCACTAATGCCTGCAAACTACACTGCAAATGACTGACCCTCCTCAGCCAGACGGCGCAAGTCAGATGCTGCCCCTGTGACTGGTTTGCGTAATGTTCCTCATTGCTTGAGGAATCCCAGGGGGAGAAAGAACCCAGGTTCCCTGATAAGACGTGTCCCAGGAGAGAGCAGTGGGGTCCTGGAAGGGAAAGCAGCTGCTGAACGGCAGGAGTAGAGCAGGAGTCACAGCTTAGGGAAGGTAAAGCACCAGCACTGAGAGATGGAGTAACACAGAGGTGGCTCCTGCGGGGGGACAGAGAGCAGACAGAGCAGTGGCAGCAAGTCCAGACTTGCTGAGAGGCAAACTGCCTTCTCCAGACAGCCTCTCTAGCTCCTTTTCCTTATTCCAGTGGTCCCTGCTAAGCATCTCAGTTGAGGCCAGGCTCCCTGTGCTCGGCTGAGCGCTGCCCGCCTCTGCTCTCGGCTCGGCGCTGCGCACCCAGCGCTCCCTAGCAACCCGCAGTGCACGGGGGAGCCGCAGCTGCCTGTCGTGAGAACCCTCGCTGGCGCTTTTCAGTCTCTGGCGTGGGAGGAGGCGGAGGGCGGAATAAGGGAAGAAGGCTGCCTAAGCACTGGGGAACACACAGCCGGTGGCGTTAGTGATCCGTGAGCCAGTCTGTGAAACTACACAGGAAAGTGGGAAACTACAGAGTTACAAACCAGCAGCTACACTCCTGTCCTACTCGCTATCTGCCTGCCTCATGTCCTCGAACGTGCTTCCTTTGCCACAGGGTAGGGAACTTCCACAACACCCTAAATCCTTCCCCTCCTGTTCCCTCACACCCACATTTGCTAAAAAATTACAGCAGTTCTGTGCCCTGGTCTGGAATGAGAGCAGTGGAGAGCTTTCATCTGAAAGTTGGGAAAAAAGCAGCCAAAAAGGCAAGTGCAGCATGTGGTTTACTTAATGTAGCTTAGTGTTAATTATTTATGATAATTCATTATTTTCCCAATATATTGCCTAGTGATACTTGTCATTGTAACAACAGTTAATAAACAATTCCCAGGTCTGCAGGCAACCAGACCTTATGCATTATAGTGAAAAATGCCTACAATTTGCTTTTAAATATTGTTGTTATTATTATTAGCCTACCCTTTCCAGCATTAATTCTCCATGGATTTTTGCATCTCACTGTTTCCTTTCCTTCTTGCTCTCCCTCTCCCATTAAGCCCAAAACAGTGACATGTGTTCTCGTTCACTAACTGTACACAAGTGCTACTGTACTATTGCAATGTGTTATAAATAGCACAGATTGAGGAGTACAGTTCATTCTGAAAAATTATCTTTAGAGATGACCTTTGAAACTCTTAACTATTTATTTCCTGTTTTTCTCAGCACGCTCTGAATTGTGATGCTCTTAATTTGGTGCAGTTTATTAATTACAAAAGAGTGTAGAGGCTAAGCAGTAAGCAGAGGATTTGAACAATGAGGTGCATAATTAAAATGGATTAATGAGGTGGATAAAATAAAGGGATTGAGGCCAAATGGAGCACAAATTTTCTAAACATTATTGGCTCTGAAACTCTTATCATCCAAAGGCACATTCCTCTTTCCAGCTAGATGTCTGTTTTTTATCCAGAAGTGTCAGTCATCTTTCATGCCAGGTTTATTAATATGGTCCCAGGAGAGTTGAGCATCATCTAGTGTTTTCTCCTGTAGCCCTAAGTTCCCCAGCTGGTTTGCTTCCAACTCATTGCTGCACCTGTTTGCACTAATATGTTAAAAACCACCCCAAAAGCAGGTCAGAGATTATACTAATCCCGTGTCTCTGCAAGGCAGTAAAATGGTTTTCAAGTAAACAGGGAGAAAGATGGGGGAAGAGAAGGGCTTGCCTTGGATTCTGAAGCAGTAAATCCTGCTTAATCCATCCACAATGCTCCTTGACCAGCGCCATCCCTTCATGTGGAAGGACTCCTCTATGGGAACGTTTGGGGCTCAAAATATCCTAAAAAGACTGGTGGAGTTGTGCCTGTCAATGATTGGGTTTTATTTCCCCCTCCTTCCTTCCAAGCCTCAGTGATTCCTCCTCAAATTTATCCAAGAGAGCCCTGCAGGCTCCTCCAGGGTGGAGCTGCGACCCACAGCGTGCCAGCCGTGGGAGCAGCACGCGCTTCCCGCTGCAGCTCCCGGTGCCTTGGATCACCGGCACATTCCCCCTTGTGTCGCGGAGGGCGGCAGGACGCTCCAGCAGCCGGAGAAACGCCTGGCCTTTCTCCCTGCCTCGCCTTTGCCGCAGCAGCACCGCCTGGCCCGCTGCGGACTGAACTGCGGAGCAAAGCGGCTCACACCTAAGGAATGATGGACGTCGTTATTTTTTACTTTGCCATTTTTTGCGTGACTTCGGGCGGAGTCACGTTACGTGGCACGGGCCGCCCCGGCGGGCGCTGGGCACGGGCCGCGCCTGCCCCCTGGCGGCGCCTGCGCGTCCCGCCGGGCCCGTGCCCCGCACAGCTGCGCGGGTCGGAAGCGCGGGGCGCTCTTCCTGCTGCCCGCCCCGCTCTCCCTGCACATTGACCCGCGTCCTCCGCCGTCAGGGAGACTTCCCCGCCGTTCTCCAGCCTGCCGTGAGCCTCGCTGCCGCGCCGCTGTGCCGTGTCCGCCCTGACCAGCCTGCTCGGTGCTGGTGACACGCGGTGACAGCTGCCATGGACGTGCTCGCAGCTGAGCCGTCACCCTGACACAGCCGCGGGCAGAGCAGCAGCCCTCACCAGACCATGTCCCTGCGCGCTTGGACGCACATCTGCAGCCGGTGAGGTTTCCTGAGAGTTTTGCCCTCCTCTATAAACTTCCGGCCCTGCAGTTGCCTCTGCCCTCTTCAAGCTCTCCTTTTGCCATTTTCCCCTCCCTTCTGGAACGTTCATTCTCCGCTGCCCCAGGTGGTTGTTAGCACAGGCCCTGCTCCCTCCTGCCGCTCACAGGGCAGTGGGTGTCGGCAGGTGGTGGATTAAAGCGCTCATTAATTTCTGTGTATCTTCTTGTCTTTTCCTTAAGTAGTATCTCAGCCCCTGCATATTCCACTCTGAAAATCCATGAAAACAGGGGGATTCGAGATTCATGATAAATGCGACGGCTGGTTATAATCCCCAGTTAAACAGCCTTCAATACAGTTGCAATTGTAGTGCGATATCAAGCCCAATAACGAAGGATATGCTGTGTTAGCCCTTTCACTGCTCAAGGGCTTTTCTCCCGGAGATGCCGCATCTCGGGCTCTTCCAGGCGGTACCCGCTCCATTTCCCGTCGCTGCCTGCGGTCGGGGCGGCCCTGCCGCGCGCTGGGGGGGAACCATCGGCGGCTCGGCCATCGGCTTCGCGCCCTCCGCTCGCGGGCTCGGTGGGATCGGCGCTCGCTCGGCCGCCGCCAGGGCTGAGCGAGGGGAGAGGCAAGATGGCGGACAAGGCGCCCGGCGGCTCGCAGAAACCCGCCGGGAAGGTGAGGCCGCTCCGCCCCGGGCCGCGGCCCGCGCCCGCTCACTTCGGCTCGGGAGGCACGGCCCGTGGCCCGCTCCGTTGCGCTCCGGGAATGCGGCCCGCTGCCGCGGGGCCCGGTAGCGGCAGGGTGGCGAGGCGCGGGCGGCGCGGCCTGCTCTCTCCTGCTCTGAGCCCGGGGTGACCGCGGGCCCGGGGATGGGTGGAAGGCGGGAAGGGGGCTGAGGGTCCCGGGCCTCTGGCGGGGCACGCCCGCTCCTCGAGACCGCCCCGGGCACGTGTCTGTCCCCGTGGCGTCCCCGTGCCCCGGCCGAGGAGGACGCGGGGCTCGGCGGAGGCGCTGTGCCGGCCCGCGCTCCCCGGCTTGGGGTGCGGGCTGTTCTCGAGTGCCCGAGCCCAGCCGTGCCACCGACGGCTTTCATTTCATTGCCCGAGCTCCCACGTGGGCTGAAGCCCGCGCAGGGTTAGTTTCCAACTCGGGAGCGTGAAGGAAAACGACGAATTAAGATGGAACGTGTTTTTTGAAGTGCGATGAAATTACAAGTTTCGTAGAATTGCTGTGGCGTTCCCCGCGCTTTTCGCTGAACCCTCTGTACTTCCTGTAGTTCCTGCTGGGTGCATTTCCAGCCCAGGAGCACAGGTAGCGCAGCAGTGCTGGAAAACTTGGCCCAGAGCTGTGCTCTGAAACCAGCGGTCACAGCGCAGAGCTGCCTGCGCTCGCAGCATCGCTCCTGCTGGGAGGGTGGAGGGAGAGATATTTTGGGGGATGCACTGGCGGCTGATGGTTGAGGATTACTCCCTTTCATTCACTTTCGTTTCAGGTTTTAGGTCAGAAGTGTGTAAATCCCACGTTTTGGTGTGTGAGCGTGTAAATCATTCAAAGAGGAAGCCGTGTTACGGCTCAGGAATTTCCAGTGCTATACATGAATAATTTTTGCCCATCTTTTTATTAAGCAAAACCAAGATTATTTAAATTTTTTTTTGCTAAGAAATTTTAGTAATTAATGCAGTTGGTAATGAAGTGTAGTTACTTAAAGTCTTTTCCGTGTTTACTCAGTTGTTATTAGAGTAGTAGAGTTTTATTTTTGTTTCCCTTTTATGATCTGTTCCAAATATTGCCAAGAAACCTTTTTTTTGTTTTTTTTTTTTCTTTTTAAATCTTGCTTTTGGCTTGGAATGGCAAATAAGAGCTGGACAGAAAACTTCAGCAGTAAAATGGGTCTTAATTTATGGGCAGTGGCTTTCAGGGAATAGGACATTTTGGGATTTCAAGTATAATTAAAAATAGAGTCCTTAATTATTGATTAATGCAGCTGATATCATGGTACAGAAAACCAACCCAGATGTGATTCCTTTCTTTTCGCAGTTACGTTGTAGACTATTTTTGTTTTGTCATTTGCTATTTCTGTACTGATGAAACTCTTCTTGCTCAATATACAGTAATAATTAATTTATAGGAATTGTTTTCTGTCCTAGATGTCAGTTCTGCAGAGCTGTGTTCTGGCAGTTAACTCTTCCATCCTGTGGAAGTCAGTAGGACAGCTAGGGAATATAAGGTCAGACTGTGTCCATCTGTCAGGGCCTGCTGAGGACATCCAGTACCTGCACTGCCACCTCTGTGCACTTCCCCCTCACCCCTCAGTTCCCCATTCCTGCAGACATCCAGGCCATGTTTCACTTTATATTTTAGATCTGACTTGATCCTTGTCAGTATTATTTTATGTGCCACAGGAAATAGGGATAGTACCTACTTGGATGCATGAGAATGTTTTTGTTGAAAAGTAAAGTAAAATAAGACATGGGATTTATTTCTCAAAAAGGAGATCTTGGGGGGCTGAAGAGCATGTGTTCCCTTCGGTACCCTTGTTTTATTATTCCATAAGTGCTTGTGATATGCACTGAGATACTTTTCAGATGTCTGTAGAAAGAGATGGTATTGAAATTAGTACTATTGTGTTATTTTAATTAGTTTGTTCACACAGGGATTAAAATGTGTATTTTTAGTTGAGCCTATATGAAAATGCTTATGGTTTAACAGTTGAGCAAATAACCATTTTGCTAGATTTTATGAAGTAATTATTTATCAGACATAGTGATTATTTTAAATAATTTTAGGATTCATTTACTTACATAATTAAAAGTGAAGCTGTAGGCTTCTTTTGCAAGTTACATTTGTTTTGCAAATACAATAATTTATGTATCTCACAGACTCATAAGATATGTTTCAGTGGCAATTCCAATTCAGTGCCTTTGCTGACTTCTAGATACCTGCTGGAAAGACACAGTGACCTTTTATTTTCTGTGCTCTGTGAGGAGCTGTGACCTAGTGCCTGAAATAAAATAATTTCTCCCCTTCAGAATGGTTGGTGTTTTTTCTTCAGTCTTGTTGTCCAAGTACTGAATTTGACCCAGTTATTTTGAATGTATATATTTGTATATATTTATAGTGCAAAATCACATTTTTTCATCCAGGCATTGTTTGATTCACTGACTGGGAAGCGTTGCTGGAGGTGGTACAGGAGCCCCCAGTGCCTGCATGGCTGTGGTGGCAGCTGCTTTGTGTGATACTGGCAGCTGCTAAATAACTTTGAGAGTCTCCCATGTGAAATGTGTTGCAAAAGCATTAACTATTCCTTTGGCACTTTGAGATTAGAATAGCAAGATTCATGCTTGGGATTTCCAGAAATCCAAGTAGGAAAGAAGGACAATTAAAGAATAGAAAATAGATGTTGCCAGAGCCTGCACAGGACACCGGTGTAGGACATGATTCTGAAATGACAGATTCAGTTCAGTTATTTATGTAATGAAATTTTAGCTGCTCAGCAACTTTTTGATTTTGTTATTGTATCTTCTGAAAATAGTGACTGTCTGGCATGGTCACTGCTCTTACATAGACTACTGTTCAAATTGGGTGCCATATGCAGAAGAAATGCTCCACTTGGACCAAGCTGTACTTTTCCCTTTTTCATCCCAAAAGCTGTACCTGTTATCTGAGTTCAAGGTTCTAGCGGAATGCCATTCTGTATTATGTACAAATACTTCTGGAGAAAGCCGCTGTCCATTCGCTCTTGTGTCTGCAAGTTATGATTACTCAGATAGGGACTAATTCTGATCTGCATTATTCCAGTAACTGTAAAGACCAAATACATTAGCTGTAAAATAATTTGCAGGTGTTTTCAAGCACTTACTTTCTAGAGAGAAACGAAGAATAAAAAATATAAGGCAACCTGGAAACCTCCTTTAGCTGAATTTTCACATCTTAATTTATGATGTGTTCCCATTTATTTTTCCTTGCTGTCGGTGCTGACACAAGGAGTCCCAGCCTTAGCTACTTCTTCCCTACCAAACACTGTCCTCTTTGGTTGATTTGGCATGATTTGGGCAGCAGGCTGCTGCTATGAGCTGGGAAATGGTTTGGCTGAACCTCCCCATCTGTCCCTTTGGTGAGTGATCAGCTAGACCAGGAACAGTGCTGTGGTTCAGTGTGACCAGTATGGGGGCAGGATCAATGGAAGGTGTTGAAACAGGGCAGGAGTGGCTTTCATCAGTTTCTTTTAAACATTTCACCCTGAACCTATTGGTTCTTTCAAGGACAGGGCTTTCATTTATGTTTTAAGTTATGGCAATTACAGTTGTAAAAATATCATTCAGCATTTAGAGGACCACAGATTGTCTCCTGGGTTGTTGGCAGCTTTTGTTGCTCTTTGTTTCACTAAATGGCATTAGTATTAATTTAAAAAAAAAAATACTGTATACAGTGTATTTTAAATACTTGTGAAATAACACAATCATGCCAGTTTTACCAAGAGATTTTTAAGTCTGGGGAAACGGCGAAGAGCTGGATTTGTGGCCATGTGAACTATGGGCAGGAAGGAAGATTTCAAAGAGCTGTTCTTTTCTCTGTTTTCCTTGGAAGCTTCCATGAAGGTGGAAGAAAATGTAAAGATCAGGATCTCAAAGATGACTCTGCTTTGGCATTTTCATGGAAGTTTGTAAGAAATCTCATTTGTACAGTCCTTTGAAGTTTTTCGGTTTTCTCTTGGAGGTTAAGTGAAGTTGGCTGGACTCAGCAGTGAAGCTTTGGGTGCCCTGACCTCCAGGACTGGGCTTTGACAGGGCTCTATTTTACTGCAGGAGCAATGCAGGCTGCTGAAATGACTCTTCAGCTGTGCTGGCACATGCTTTGAGAAATGTGCAGCGTGCAAGTGATGGGAAAAGTGATCCAGCTGTAAAATAGTCTGGTTGAGGAGAAAAAGTAAATAAAGACAGTTTTCATGCAGAGATGCAATGAACTGGGGGTAGGAAGGCATTTGTCAGTTGTCTATGGTGGCAGTGACTGAAAGTTGGATTCACTGCATTTTTTCTGTTGGCATTTTGAACATGAGGAAGCTGTCCTCACATCCTATCATGTGTAGGGCAGAGCTTCCTGTGTCTTTCTTTCAGCAGTTAAGTTCAGTTGAGCTACTTGACATGATGAGAACAGAAAAAATAATCCTGCTCTAGATTTCAGCACAGGTGGGCAACATCTTCTAAAATGTTTCCCTCTGTTAGAAAGACACCGATTCCGCTGAGTCAGTGCAGCTGGTCTGACTCTTAAGGAAACAAAATGGCCCTTTTTGTCAAGGCAGTGCAGATGGATACAAAGTGCAGTGCTGTGAGGGTTTGTGATTTTTTTAAATAACTGCTGTTTAGAAACTGGCAGGTAGCAATGTGTAATTTTGTCAAGAACCTTTTCATGTTGTGCTTTGTCAGAACAGTTGTTTGGTTGGTGAGGAGCAGTATCAAAGGTAGAACTAAATTTATACATAGGAAAGAGAAGACCTTAAAAATAAGAATTGGTGAAGGAGGAAGATAACGTGGCTCTCCAAAGCTGCTAGCTATTTTTGGTTACAGTTGGTCTGAAAGCTAAAATTGCTTTTAGAAGTTTTCTGAATGCACCTTAATAGAAATTTTGCTGCTCAGCTAATGTTCAGAGTGGCTCCACAGTGCCATGGTCTCTGTTGGTGGGTTGGGGAGTGCCAGTGGACTCCCACAGAATCTCTGCGTGCTACCACGCACTGCAGCCTTTCTGAGCAGTATCATCTGCTTGCTGCTGGAGAAACAGATTTAGTGTCTTGCTTTTTTTATGTTCTTCCTCAGGATAATCTGTCACTGTACTGAGCATTCCCACTGTTACTCTGTGTAATGCTTTGTTTCTGTCCTCCTTATAAGCAGCTTCAGCACCACCCCTGTTGGGAGGTGTTGCTATCTAAAACTTCCATAAATGAAACAGATGTGGAGAATCAGGACGTGGCCATTCCCTTCTGCTGTTGCCAGACAGGCTCCTTTTCTGGAGCAGTGCTCGATCTGTGTCAGTACACCAAGGCAGACAGCGCTGTATCACTCCACCTTTGAGACTGATTTTTTTAACTGCAGGTCTCAGATTGTTTGTTGGAAGGCTGGAATTGCAGCTGCTGTGTTGGTTGCCACAGGGTGGCAGCTGCCAGCAGGAAGAATGCTGTTCCCATGCTCTGGAATTCTTTTGCACAGTGTATGTCTTTTATCTGTGTGATGTTAGGCTACACATTCATAAAGTTTTGAGGGGAATACAACTTTCCTTAGGCTACATTTGTGCAGTATGGAGACCTGTGCATAACAGATTATGATCTGAGTGCCACAGGCAGTTTGGGATCACAAAAAAATCCAAGCACACAGGAGGAGAAGTTTGCAGGAAGTGGCATTAGTAAAAAATGCTTGAGATATTTGCTTCCGTGTGTATTCTAATGAACTGCTACTGCTGCATGTGAACTCAGCTTGTTATTAGCTTCTGTGCAAAGATGTGCTTGTGAGTCATGTACAGTGCTGCAAGGAAGGGGTTTGGGAGGTCCTTGAGAGTAAGACATGATTTTTTTCCTCCATTTTTTTCTTGCCCCATTTATCTTTATTAAAAAAACCTCCACACACATTCCTAGAAGCCTTTTGCTTCTCCCTTGGAAGAGCTATATCTGTGTTGCACTCTACATTTGTGCACTTAATTCTGGTTTCTGTTGAAGACCATTTTTTCTAAATTGATTTTACTGTATGACATAGGAATACACTTGTTGAGAGAAAATGTCTCTGTCTTAGCTGATGAAAAAGCAGGATGCACAACAAAAACAAAGCCTAGTAAATGATCTTCTAGAGTAGTATTTGGTGCTTGTTGGTTTTGAAAGACTGGAAATGAGCATCATATATTACTATTCCTGGTGTAAACTCCTGGTAATAAGGAGAAATGCTAATGTTCTGTAACTAATGAACAGATTTCAGCTAATGGAAATGTGTTACCTTGATTTAAATTTCAGTTAAAGTATGAATTGTGCATCAGGCAATAATATCTTAAAAGTAGATGTTATGTCAGGTTTTCTGGAATTTGGGCATTACGTGATTTAAAAGTGTGTTCTCCATCACTTAGGCTCATTTAAAACCTGATTTTGTATATATTCTGGTTTAGGTGTTAAAGTTTAGGTGTTAAACCCCTAAAGTTAGGGTTTAAAGTAATAACACAAATTAGTACCTGGTCACAAATTGTGGTTTTTGGGGTGGCCAGGTTCCATCTATGCACAGTACAGTAAAAGCAGTTTTGGAAATTATTTTATAGGAAGCCATATGTAATCTTTAATAGCCTTTGTTGACAACTCTTGAACATGCAGTGTAACTAACCTACTTTTTTTTTTTCCCAGTGGTGCCATTGCTGATGTATTGAACATGCAGTGTAACTAACCTACTTTTTTTTCCCCAGTGGTGCCATTGCTGAAGTTGTTTTAAAATCCAGCTGTGGAAATTCAGATTTTTTTAATGGTCTGTCTTTAGGTCTCTCCCTTATTTGCCTTATATTGACATTGTTCCTAGGTCAGATAGGTGACCTAGGTCAGATATATCATTAAAATACATTATAGGTATCTTTGTTCTTGTGTCTTTGGATGTTGAAATTGAAATGAAAATTCACATTCCAAGAACTGGAAAAAACCCCCCAGAGGCTGTTTGTCTGTTTCTTGTTGTGTGCCTCACCTCCTCCTCATTCTCTCCTCAGGTCAGAGGGCCAGATGCAGTACATACCACTGGATCTGCTGATTCACATGTAAGTCCAAAACACTTAAAAAAACAAAAAAATTCCAACCAAACTCACAAACTCAAAATAGGCCTGTTTTTAAAGAAAACTGCTTGCTACAGGCAGAGTTTGGTGCACTGGGTGTGTAACCTGTAGGTGTTTGCAAATGAACCGTTGATTTCATGTTTAAAAATACTCCTTGAAACTTTGAAAACAAGCAGCAACGTAGGAAGCTGTGCTGCATGGTACTGCATCCATTATTGGTACTGGAACAGAAAGAAGCTGCAAGGACTCTCTGTGGCCTTGTCTCTTGTACTGAGGAGTGCTTGGGGATGCAAGGTGATCAGTCCTAGGAATCATGGGATATTCAAGTGCCTTTTCACATACAGTTGGCTTCTCAAGGCTGAGACTGTGGCCCTAATTCCATCCTTTATTTTTCTTTCTAATAGAATATTATGATAAAGGAAAAGGTAAGAGGAATAACCGGGTCCTGGTGTCCCCCCGCCCCTTATCCCCTCAGTGACAAGACCTTTGCCTGGTTGTGTGCTTGGTATGTTGCATGAAGACTTACCTGTTTCTGAGCTAAAATGAAAACAGGCAGCAAGAGCCAAACTGGGAGTTAATACCAGACAATTCATTCTGTGGTTTGGATTTCCTTCAAGATTTCAATTTGATTTTGTACATGCAGAAGTCAATTACCTTGCTTGTACGAGCATTAGTTGAGTTGTGGTAGTAGAAACTTTTCATACAGAAGTAGCTTGTTTTATTGATTTCTTTTACTTGATACAATTTGGACAATTACTCTTAAATGTCTTCTGAGTATTTTGTACTGATGGAACTGGAACTTTAGTGCTTTGTGCCACCTTACAGTCTTTGCAGTGTTCTAGTTAAACAGAAGCTTTCATACAGAGATTTGATCATTCAGCTGCAAGTTTTTCTTTGCTTCTATCATTTGCTTTACCCTTTTCACAGTATTTTGCATTTTTTGAAGGAGGAAGACCTTCAAGTTTTATATAGTTCCGTTGTTAGGAATTCTGTGAAACTGTGTATGGTTAATGATAATGTTGTAATTGCTCACTGGAATCTAACTAGTAGGCATAAATTAATTCAATCTTTACTTTCTATTGTTCCTGCCTGTTGGCAGGTGGTTTTTTTTCCCTGAGATCCTTTCTAAACTGAGCAGCTCTTAGTGCCAGAACTCTTTATCTTGCAGCTGCTTCCTTTATGTCACTGGAACAAATATTCATGTGGCTGATCTGCAGGTATCCTGTGACATTACTGTGAGAGATTATTTTCTGATGACAGGATGAGCCTTGGGTAGGAGTGTGGTATTTGTTCAGCCTGCATTGCTGTGCCATTGCTGTGTGCCCATGTTTTGCCAAGGTTGTATATTGTCATACTGAAATAGAAGCTGTTTTTCATACAACTGGGAGATGGGATTTTATTAAATTTAAAAACACACCGATGAATTAAAAGCTCCTGATGAGCCTGTCACAGCAGCTCACATTGACAAACATGGTGTCATAAACCAGCTGACTTCACAGACAACACTGCATAAATTTGTCACTGGTAGCTTTACTTTCAGTGATGAAGAGCGAGCACTTTCAAGGAAGTGTGAACTACTTGGTCCTGTGCTTGGCACAGATCTAAGAGTGATGCTAAGCAAGGATTATAAATTGAAGATATTTCAAACAGTTTGTTTTTCATGGTGCTTTTTATGAAAATTTTTTTTATTACAAAGCTGATACTAGAAATAAAACTAGTTACAAAGAAAATTATTCCTAGAGGAAACCCTTGCCAGTTGGTATCAGAATATTTCTCGTAATATGACATTTAAGTTGTTCACCTTATTTGTCTTGATGTTGTATTGAGCTGATTTTTTTTTTTAAGAACTGTCATTGCAAAAATCATAGTTTTAAGCATCATGAATATTTTGAAAACAAGACTCATAGCTTCTGGGGTTTTGTTGTTGTGCTGATTCTTCATGAATTACTGTGTGAAGGCAGGAGTTTCCAGAGAAGTATTTTTTCTCTCAGTTAACTTCCCACTGCCCGTGTCTTTGGAACATGCTCTCCATCCTGTTGTCTTTCTTCTCTTGATGCTTTGCTGCCTGTTAACTACCACAATAGAGCCTGAAGAATTCCATTTCCATACTCAAGAAATTACTGTTGTGTGGAGTATTTCCTTCATCAGGGTTTTGGAAAGAAATTAGAAACAGTCTAGGAGCTGAATGTGAAGTTTTTATGTGAGGTTTTTTTATAGGTGAAGACGTCTGGAATGCGTTGTTCCAGCAAAGCTATTAATTTTTACCTTGAAGTACAGTGGAAATTTAGCATCCATATGGTTGTTCCATTACCTGTCCAACCTTGCACAAACATTATTCTTGCCAAAATAGAAAAGCTTTTCTGAGGGAAGGGTGAAGAACTGTAATGCAAAAGCATGTATTTTTGAAGGTTTAGAAATTGCAGCACTGCATAGTGATAAATGTCCAGGCTCTTACAGCAAGTGTCCTTCAGGTTTCAGCTCTGTTTGAATGGTGTATTAAAAGCTTTCTCATTAAACCAAGGATGATTTGTTTAAAAAAAGCCACACATTTAAGGGTTTTTTTTTGGTTGTATTAGATAATGAAAACTTCACAGATAAGTACAGGACATCTTTTCTTTGTTTTATTTGAGTTACTCGTCTAGACCAAGGTCAAAAGCAGTATTATTGTAATTGTTTTGTAAACAATTTGATATCTGTTTTCTTACTCCTTTTGCAGCCTCTAATGGAAAGTAAACTTAAAGCATTCAGTATTGGCAAAATGAGCGCTGCCAAACGGACACTGAGTAAGAAGGAGCAAGAAGAATTGAAAAAGAAGGTAATGGTATATAATGAAAATTTTACTTTGTATGCAGAGCTCAAATAATTTTGCTTTTAGATTGCAACCAGATATCTTAATTTTGGTAATTGTAGCTCTCTAAGAGTGAAAGTGAATTGTATTTTACATGTATAATGTATTTTCGGCATCCATGGCATTATGATACAGAGAGGCTTATTCTGTCCTTGTCTGTGAGAAATCAAGTTCTCTGGCTTCCTGAAATAGGGAGTTAGAATAATTCATTGCTGTATTGCTCAGAATGGAGACAGCCATCACCTTAGGTAATTTTCTGTTTTTCCTTTGCTCTCCATCATTGGATTTCAGTTACTGCAAAGAGTACCTACCATTTTTGAACTTGTTTCAGCACACATCCTTGTTAGTTCTGTAAAACATTTTTTTTGTCTAATAACTGTGTTGGGAACCAATACAAACCTTAAATTTTAGTACTGCATTTTAGATTGCTGAGGAATGACCAGATTTTAGGAAATACATATCTGGTAGTTGGTAAGGTGGAAGTTTTGAAAATTTAGGGGTTTGAGATTTGTACACACAACCTGTACTGTGTTGCAGTGGCTTACCTCCTGCTGGGTTGTTGGAAATACTGGCCTAAAAATCATGACAGTGCTAAGCCATAGTGCTCAGCTTAACCCATTTATTCAACTTGTTCTCTGGGAAATACAGAAAGGTGATCCTCTTGTTGATGTCCTTCAGCCACGTGGGTTGATTGTAAAGGCTGAGATGGAATGGGCACTGTTCTCTCATGCTGAGGCCAATAAAGCTCATGGCTCATAAGCCTTTGATTTGAGCTTTTCTGTTTGGCATCTTTTGAATGTTAAATTGCCATGTAAAGTCCTGAAAAGGAACATACTGGAGCACACAGCCTCACTGGCTTTGTGTGTTGTGTGCTGTGTTCTACCCACATTTCTCAGAAATTTGAATTATCTAAAATTGAAACTCCTTTGATGCTGTTTGTAGCTTGAACTCTAGAAAATAAAAATGAATGTCACATAGTTAATTTAAGAGTAACTGTCTAGTGAAAGTTGTTCTGTGATGATAGTAAATAGATGAACATTTGCTCTGTAGGAGGATGAGAAGGCTGCTGCAGAAATTTATGAAGAATTCCTTGCTGCCTTTGAAGGAGGTGATGGTAATAAAGTGAAAACATTTGTAAGAGGAGGAATCGTTAATGCATCCAAAGGTATAACTAATCTTTTTTTGGAGGTGAGGGGTCATTTGGCTTTTAGTAAAGATGAAGATTGGCTTTGAATTGCATTTTAAAATTAGTATGTTACATTAGAAGCAGAAAAGAAAACTTGATGCTAAAATCTACTTTGTGCTTTGATTGAGGTGGGCAATGGTGTGATTTGTGCTTTAACCATAAGAAGAAAAAATGCTTTGGTTTAGATTACCTAATCCATGTTCTTCATATTAAAAGATGTTAAATTATGTAAAATTCGTAATGTCAGCTTTTTAAAAATGAAGTAATATATTGAATTGAATGACCAGGACTAAAGAACAACTTTCCTTCTAATGAACAGTGTTGTGCAAGATGAATTAATAAAATTTGCTTTCAACTTGTCTTTAATTTCAGAGGAGCATGAAACAGATGAAAAACGTGGTAAAATCTATAAACCGTCGTCACGATTCTCAGATCAAAAAAATCAACCAAGTCAGCCATCTAATGAGAAACCTCCGTCCCTCCTCATGATAGAAACCAAAAAGCCTGTAAGTTTCTTGCTTGAATCTTAACTCCATCCTGATGTATTTAGAAGTGCTTAGAAGAAGGGCCATGAGTTCTTGCAGAGTAGTTTTGTCTGCACGTGTCACATCGGAGAGAAGGTGGGCATTTGGAGTTGGCTGAAGCAGTAGCAGATACGAAGGTGATGAAATGCAGAGGCCCAGGAGCCCTGTATGTGGGACAGTACACCTGGTGCTGCACTGCCCTTTTATTGTGTTCCTGCTAAGGTGGACAGACTTCTCATGGATATGGATTTAGTGACTGTTGCAAAGTAATAGCTTCTTCAGTCCTGAGAATTTGTGGTTTTAGAAGCAATTCTCAATTTCTATTGCTACTGTCTGGTTTTGATTCATTTTTAACTTTAAACAAAAAAATAAATTGACCTTTGTGTTGATCCAGGTTTTTCTTGGTAGGGTTTTTTGAGTTTGTTTGTTTGTTTTGGTTTGGTTTTTTTTGGGGGGGGATGAAGTTTGAGAAGTTCCTTTAGAAATCCCTCTTTGAGTTCCAGAACTTGCACAGTTCAGAAGCTGAACACCTTGTTTTATTTATTTTGTCTTCTGCATGATTTAATTGAGGGTTTTTTTTGTTTTGTTTTTGTTTTCTTGTTTGTTTTTTTTTTAACCAAGGTTTGTCATAAAAAGTAATAAACATGAACCAGCAGTCTTCAAGTCAAGTGATAATTGCATATGATTACTGTTACTACTCTGTATGTGTAATGAATGTCTTGGATGTCTTAAAAGTCTTTTAATAGAGCTTACTACAATTTTAAAGCCTAAGTGAAGCATGTAAGATGCTGCCTGTTAGGGTGGGAAATGAATGTAATGTGATAATTGTGGGCAGTTCCATCATAACCTCCTTCCAGCTTTAAACAAATGCCAGTGTTAGACCAATGGGGTACTACTGGATGGCAGTTTTGATTTTCATTGTATGTAAAGCTCTACATATACAGAAATGAATTGTAGCATTTTTTTATTTTTCTGAGCTCTGTTCTGTCATATGCAAGTGTTTGTACTGTAAGACTATTGCTGCTTTTCAAATTTTTCATAAATACTTGTGAAGTAATGCAATCAGTTTACTCACTTGCCATGTCCAATGGTGATTGAAGATAATGAGGTAAAAATGATTTTATTTATTTGGCAGACCCTCCCCAAAAACAAAAACAAACAAACAACTTTGCCTGGGGTGAGTAGGAAGTCCAGTTTTTCCAAAGCTGTAGTGTGTAACACAAGTATTTTGTATGTCTGCCTATTGGAAACGTTTTCATTTAAATTTGATTATATAAAAACAATGTTGTTGAAGATAATATTTCACATGAGTTAGTTAAGGAACATATATTACTGTTAAACAAAAAAAGTAGTATTGCAGTATCCATATTCTTCGTCGTTCAAGAGTTTTTCCTGAGGATCTTGAACTATTTAAAGTAACTGTTTTTTCAGACTGTATTTACATCCAAAGGGAAGCAAGAGAAGGAAATTCTTTTCAAGTAGAATGTTTGTGGATAAAATAATTGAAAATATATATGTAAAATAATTTACATATATATGCACACACATCTGTCAAATTCATTAGAGCATGATGGTTTGCTAGGGGTGTAGTTAGCATCCTAGTTTCCAAATGGAACAAAGTGACAAAATACCTCACAGTTATTTTAAATGTGTATGTGGTAGAGAGAGTGTTTGATCACATGTGCTCCATTGTGAGAATGAGAAGTAACAATTTTTTTTTTTAACTATTCTGAATTTTTTATTTTCTAGCTTTGTGTTTGATAGCGCTCAGTCTGAATGTGTCAAGTCCATTTGGTTGTTGTTTTGGTTTTTTTTTCATTGTTTTTTCCTCCTGTAGTTACTTGGTTTGAAAGCTGTGGGTAAAATATGCATGGAAATTATATAAAATTTTGTTACGTGATTTTCAATTCTGTTCATTTTGTCTTCTAAAATGTTGTTTTGTATATCTTTAATTTTAGCCTTTGAAGAAAGGAGAGAAGGAAAAGAAAAAGAGTAATTTGGAACTTTTTAAAGAAGAATTAAAGCAGTAAGTTTGCTAGTTTTTACTGTAAACAAATAAAATCCAAGGTTTTTGCCTTGTTTTACAGACAGTATTTAAGATCATTCTCACTAAGTTGTTTCCCAAGGAAGGTTTTTATTTATTTTCTCCCTCAAATGCTTGTGAAATGGTATAACTAATTTGTTTAAAATAACTTAGTTAGGCTTAATTACTGCCATTGCTGATGGGCTTGGCCATTGTTGGGTCCGTCTTGGAGCTGGCTAGTGTTGGCTTCATCAGCTGTGGGGGAAGCTTCTGGCAGCTTCTCACAGAGGCCACCCTGTAGCCCCCCACTACTAAAACCTGCCCAGGTACACAAACCCAGTACAGGGGTGTGGCACAGAGATTGGTGACAGTATGAAATGTCTGTCACTCTTGAAAAGAGTGAGCTTTGTCAGTGTTTCTAAACTATATCCAGAGGAATTTGTAGGAAGAGGTTGAGCTTTAATGCAAAATAATGCAGAAACAGGAGTTGTAATTCAAGTCTAGAGACTTCAACTTGCATGGTATTGAAAGCAAGCTGGATAATGCTTGAAAAAGCAGATTGTTTCACTTCCATATGTGTTGGAATACAGCAAAGAGCAGCCCATGTATTGAGTGCAGCCTCAGCTGCCATATATTTATCCTGATGCTAGTGATGGAAAACAAAGGAATCTCTGTGCATTAGAAAGCAGTAGGTACAACATTCTAAACCTATATGTGCTTCTGTTGAGGAGTGCCTGAGCCTCACTGCTGCGTGTTCCTTAGTTGGTGTAAATGAGTTGAACGGACAGCCTTGTATTCCTGGGATTCAGTATCTTCATATCAGGATTTAAGGCCAGACTTCAGGGAACCAAATAGTTACTTGTGAGTACTGTCCTCAGAGGTAAAAACTGAGATGAAATCCAGTTTATTCTGGAAATAGTAATGTGGGTGTACCTCTGAGTAAGGCTTAGAAAAGCTGGAAGGATAAATCGATACTAAGGAGCTGTGTGCATCTTGGAAAGTCACCTGAGTGGTCCGTGGATCTCTGGCAGTTAGATGTGGAATTGGAGTCACTTTTTCAGAGCACATTCTTATTTCCAATTTTGTTTGAGAATGAAATACCAATACAATATGAATGAGGAAGCATGCAGCTGGAATAATTCTGGTAGATATACTCCAGTTGATACTCTAGAAACACAAGTTCAGACATAGTGGCAACTTGGAAGTTCTAACAAACTCATTGTTTCATATTAAAAATTCTCATAATTGTTAAGTCAATTCAAAATGTTAGAATAAAAACTTCAGAATGGTTTTAAGTTGTTGCTCACTTTAAACTTGCTTCTTAGAATCCAAGAGGAGCGTGATGAAAGGCACAAAACAAAAGGTAGATTGAGTCGTTTTGAACCACCCCAGTCTGATTCAGATGGGCAGCGGCGTTCAAGTAAGTAGTTGTTATTTTTTATGTTAGTCTGAGCTGCAAGATTTGTAGACTAAATTGTACATATTTTTCTTCTCTATATTCAGTGGATGCTCCTTCAAGAAGAAACAGATCATCTGGTGGTAATACTGATTCTTTTCTTATTCAGTTTAATGTTGTCATTTAAATGCATAGCAGGGATTATGACTTCTTTTTGTTGTTTGGTTTTTTCGTTTATTTTAGTACTGGATGATTATGCACCAGGGTCACATGATGTTGGAGATCCAAGCACAACAAATTTGTATCTGGGAAACATCAATCCTCAGGTAAGTTTGGAGCCAAGGAGTGCAGTGTTGGCATGTTTGGCCCAGACAATTTTTTTTGCAATATTCATTGGAATAAGTGCTCTGAACATAGTGCTGAAAAGTTAAGGTTTAGACTGCCAGTCTCTAGCTCAGTTAAATTTCTTTTTCCATTGATACACTAAGCAAGGTGGATCATATCTCAGTCATTTGATTGTGTTCACTTAAAAGTGCAGTTTTTTAGATTCTTGTTGCTGCAGTAGATTGCATTGGGGGGCTGTCAATGAAGTGGTGTTATGTCAAGAAACTAAACTAAAAAAATTAAAATTTTGACATTTGGACAATAATACAAACAGCTGTCACAGAAATACAGTGGGAAAATGTTAATTTTTACCTCTTTTTCCTGTAGATGAATGAAGAGATGTTATGTCAAGAATTTGGCCGCTTTGGACCATTAGCGAGTGTTAAAATTATGTGGCCAAGAACTGATGAAGAAAGAGCAAGAGAAAGAAATTGTGGCTTTGTTGCCTTTATGAACAGGAGAGATGCTGAAAGAGCATTGAAGAATTTAAATGGTAAACAGATTTCTCAGTTCAGGGCTGTAATTATCTTTGCAGACTGTAAGCACATTTTCAGGTTGTTTTATCAGACAAGTGAGATGTATTCTGTAACTCCAGTAGGTACCAGGCTGGCAGTGAGTTTACATTTGACTGTTCTACTGGCAACTGAATGTCGTCAACCAATAGCAATTGTGTACTGTAGTGTCCTGAAGACAGATATTTGGGGAAGACTAATGAAACATTTTGTGTAATAGGCCTTCATTTGCCTGTGTTGTAGTCTGATAGATGTAATAACAGTAATCAACAATGTAAGCAAAAGGTCAACGGTGGCAGGCAAACCTAAATGTTGCACTTAGCAAGGAGAAATCTCAAGTGATGCAGAACCAGTTCATAACATCATGGTAATGGAGGTTTTTTCCTTTCACTTTTTCAGGCAAGATGATTATGTCGTTTGAAATGAAGCTGGGCTGGGGCAAAGCTGTACCTATACCACCACATCCAATCTACATTCCACCCTCCATGATGGAGCACACCCTGCCGCCGCCCCCGTCAGGACTGCCTTTCAATGCCCAGCCTAGGGAGAGGTTGAAGAATCCTAATGCTCCAATGTTACCACCACCAAAAAACAAGGAAGATTTTGAGAAGGTAACTTACAGTACCCTGGGCCGTATCTCATTGTTAAATACTACATCTGTGACAGTATTTCAATGGCTTCGTAGATTTGCATTGTTCAGGCTGACTTGGCAGCCCTTAGTCTGCAAATTCTCTGGCTCCCTGCTGTAGCCCAAGGGAGCCTACTTAATTCCTGAAGCTCTTTTTCATGTCTGTGTTAGGGTACAATATATTGGCTCTTGGTTAATTTAGTGCTGCTTAAAATCTGGCTATCATTTTCCCCCTCCAGGCTCCCTGGATTTTTTTCTCCTACGTCCCCCCCTTTTCTTGGCTGCCAAATTGCAGTATCTAAATTGTTTTCCTTATAGAAAATCCTACATATTAATTTGGGTAGCATTATTTTTACCCTAGAAGAGTTGATGTATTTTGTGTAGAAGGTAATTAATCTGGACATTGAGTAAGTATTTTATGCTACTTATGGAGTCAGTTTTCAAACTTTTCTTTTTGTGGAATATTAGCTGATAAAAGGGTAAGTATCTTGAAATCACAAACCAACTTGATTTACATTTGTAAGAATTTATTGATTCTTTGAATGACACTTAAATGCCAGGGCTGTTTTTTGTAAGACTTGGGAATAAAGTAATACCAACGTGATCCAAGTCAAATAGTTTAGAATCTTTTCATAAACGTAAGAACTCCTTTCTTATATATTCAGCATAGTTCCTATTCAGTGCCTCAATGTACATTCTGACAGGAATGTTCTGATACTTTGCAATTAGTGAACCTTTATGGTTCACTGACACAACCATTTGAATTTTGTGTAATTGCTTAGTTATAACTTCACAGCAGTGATTGCCTGCAAAGTTTGTGATAGATGTGTAGTATTTTCATTGCATATGTATATTTTTGCTTGTTACTTGTTAACAATACTCACATATTCTATGTTTATTATCTGATGTGACTTCATATACAGACTCTGTCGCAAGCCATAGTCAAAGTGGTTATCCCAACAGAAAGGTACATGTTTTTCTTTATTATTACTGATCTAAATATAGAAAATTTCCCCTTCGGAATTTTAAAGAAAAATGGTGATGTTGTGGAAAAGGTAATGGCTTGACTGAGCAATGGTTATTTTATAACACTTAAAAGAAATGTGTGTGGTATACTATTCTAGTTACTAGTCTAACTATTCTTGTCTTATTAACTCTTTTTAAGTGAGGGTAGACTTAAGTAATTATCTTTTGCATTTAATTTGATCACTAGAGAGAGATGCAGGGTAATTTTGTGAGTGAACACTAGGGTGAAACACTGACTTACAGATGGAGCCTAAGTTCTGACATAAACCTCTGCATATGGGGATGCAGCTGTGGGCTTTTTTTATTTTTTTCTTGGTTTTTTTTTCTTTTTTTTCCTTCATTTTTTTCTTTTCCTTTTTTGTTTTTTTGACTTGTACTTTTTATAACCAGTTCAGTTGAAACCAGTTCAATTTTGATTTTTGCTAATTTTTAAAATGTAGCAGTTAATAATTTTTGTCACTGACAAAGATACTTTTGTATTATGCAAGGATATTTTTCCATTTTGGTCCCCATCACTGTTCCTGCCTTCAAGCTAGTCTAGGTATACTCTTGCTCAGTTAAGCTAAAGCCTTTTCCCAAACATAGGAACACAACACTGTTTTAAAAGTAAAGAAGCACAAAAGATTACCAAATTCTCTTTGACATTGGCCTTGGTGAGCAACACCAGCTGAACTGTCTGCGGCAGCGGGGGACCAGGAAAACATCATGGGATGGATTGGGAAAGTATACAGTTTTTGACCAGACATTGGTACGATCGGCTCCAATAAATGTGGTTTTATTATAACTGAAAAACCTTTTTTTTGTTGGCCAACTTAAGCTAAATGACCTTTTAAAATAATGCACTATTGGTTTTTTACTACACTGTCTTAATTGTCACAAAGTCCCTTTTTTCTTTTTTTCGCGTGGGGGGAGGGGGCAGCAGGAGATTTGTGAAGCTGGTTATAGTGCATTAACAAATTTGTCAGTACATGCTCCAATGTACTGTATTTTTGATGGAATTTTAGGACGGTACAATTTTTGTTGGGTAGAAACTTGAATAATTGGGGCGACCAACCTGGAGGAGTCTTGATTTGAGAAACATATTGAGTAGTAGAACAAGTACTTGTAAAATTGTACAATGCTCACAGAGTAGGTGTCAGAGAAAAAAAATTATTTTTCCATGTCCATTTTATTTACTGTAGCATTTTAAAAGCCTGTATGATAAGAACTCATGTTAAATGAATTGTATTTGAAAACACTTCTAATAATTCCTTTCTTGATGATTTTGGAAGTTGCCAATGACAATTGCTAAGACCATTCCTTACTCAGTGCATCCCATCGTGCAAAAATTTTGACTGAATTTAGTGGGATAATACAGTTAATTATTCTCCTTTAACTAAAAATTTTCAATAAGATCTCTTTCTTCTTAGTAAACAGCAAACCTTGAGTATGTATAATCAATTAGTTTTTCTGAGAAATTCACTTCCGAGTAGTCACATCTTACATACCAAAATGCCTGTAACAACCTCTTTCAGATATGGGATGAGCTGAATCTATTTTCATACATCAGAGGTCTTATGAAGCAGATGTTCTTGTTCAAGCATAAGCTGCTCTTACACAACTTGATTCTACTTGATGAAAGAAAAATTAGACGAAAACCAGTGATGATTTGCAGGAAGCCAGAAGTGATCACACTGGATTTGCCTTAAAATAAATGAATGCTGTGATAGCTCAGAGACTTGAAAGCTATTGTAGATCTCTTTCTTGCTGATGTTTTCAAATACAGTTCATATAACAAGAAGAGTCTGGCTGTTCAGACTTTCAGAACACTGCTGTAAATAAAATGGCTACAGAATTGTTGAAACTATGTCCTCTTTGCAGTGTTTCTGGGATTATAAAAAGCAGACAGGAAAATTGAGCTGGTAGCAGTTTGATTTTATTTGTGTAATATTTGAGGCAAATGCAGATTCAGTGCTAGATGGCTTAAAAGAGCACTTGCAGATGGCTGGGGTAGGATTCTATTACTATTCTATTATTACTAATTTTTAAGTTGATTTTTTTTAAATCTAGTTCATTATATCCGTGGCCGAACTTTGAATACTCATAGTAGAAAATAGTCACCTCATTGCTAAGAAGTAATAGAAAATTCTGCAACTTTACAATGTAACATTTATGGAGTTTTAGTCATTAAAAAAGTGCTCTATGGAAATCTATTGCATTACATGTAAAAACCCAATATTCATTTGTTGCATCTAAGAAAATAAATATAAATATGCAAAAATCTGTATTTTTTTTGGCTTGCATCACATTCAAAGGGCATGTGCTGTGAAGCTTTTGCTGTATGTAGGTAATCTATTTTAAAAACTCAGGACACTGTTTCCATAAAACCCCAAAGGGGTGGAAACTGGCTATCACTATTTTTGATAAAGCTTTTCTGACTGTCTCCTGTTAGCATGCTTAGAAGTGACTCTGCATTGAAAAATGTGCACTTCACATCCACTTCTTGCCTGTCTCAGGATGTAGTGCTGAATGAAGGGAAACAGATTTTTGTTTTTTTTTAATTGTGATTTAGTTCTGTTGTGTGTCTGAGGGAGGGAACATGGGATGGTATTACACAAAAGAATGGACAGTTTTCTTCTATGCCAGTAGTCGAGACTTGACCAAAAAGAGATGATCTAAATTTAGTAAATATATTGCCCTGTTTTGCATCAAGAAGGCTATTTACTTTTCCTTTCATACTTGAGTAGCTTGAAAGCTGAATTCAAATTCTGTTGAACATTCAGAAGCATGTTTTTATTTTGAACAAAATATTCAGCCACTTGTTCCCCTGTGGAACTTCAGCTAAGACTTCAGTCTTACTTCTAGACAATGTAGATGAGGGCTTAGTTTTTGATAGCTAATTGTACTTTGGTGTTCAGGTGCCCATATTTGTATATCAGGTTTCTGCTAAGCAAGACATGATTGTAGGCTAAGACATGGAAATTTAGGAAGGAGGTCTCTTAAATTCTTACTCCACCACTGCTAGGCATGGTTTGATTTTTAGAATGCCCGTGTCTGTGATGCAAAGCTATAATATGTTCCATGTTGCCTTACCTTTTATGCAGATTTCTTAACAATACAGCAAAATAATCTCCTGCACAGTTGTAGTATCTTAGGTGGAGTGTAGTTTTATATAGTGTTAGGTCTGAATCAATTTTTCTTTAACTGTGTTGTTGTTGTAGGAATTTGCTCGCTTTGATACATCGAATGATAGAGTTTGTGGTTCGGGAAGGGCCCATGTTCGAAGCCATGATCATGAACCGAGAAATCAACAACCCAATGTTCAGGTGCTTATTACATTGCTTCATTGCAAATAACACCAGCTGTTTTCACTGTTGTTAATGTTCTGCATTCTTAAAATACTAACAAGACTGACTTCTACTGTGACTATCTTCACGTGCAGATTCAGACTTTACAAAGTGCACCTTTGGCTGTACTGTCCTTTTATAAGGAAGAACACGTTTTTATTCCAATTGTTACTAATGTGTACATATAAATAAGTAAAATAGTACACACACACACACAATGTAATAAATTTCTATATATTTAAATAAATACCATTTAACACATACTCTTTTGAGGGATTCACAGTCAGTGGAAGCAGTAGCATACATTCAAAAAAAGGAAAAATCCCCCTCTTCCCCCAAACAGACAAACTCAATGTGAGGTCCACTCTTCCTGGGTACTATTTTTTAACCTTTAGCAAGAGGTGGGAATAATTTTTCTTCTATGTCAGTTAAAATAGAATTAAACTTCAGCTGACATAGGGAAGTTTTGAGAATTTTGAGCACTTGTCCTTAATGGAATAAAAAAGGGCCAGTTTCTAAATTTCTTGTGAAATGCAGTCTCTCAAAAAAGATTTTGAGGGAAGTGCTAAATGACTTTTTAGTCATAGTCGTGTTTTGTTTGCAGTAAGTTTGAAGTGCTTCATTATGATTTTCATATGCAAAGTGAGAAGATATGCAGGTGAAAATATCCTGGCCATTAAAAATGGCCTGCTTGTCTCCCCCATACTCCATCAGATGTTGCCAGTGTTCTGCCAGACAATTTACTGGTGGAAAACTTCAGATCCTTTAGTATTTGATGACCTCACTATGCATCTGGAAGCTCCTGCATCACTTGTGCTGAGGTTGCAGTTGCTCCTGTAGTGACTCTTTGCACTGATGATTCTTCTGCTTTGCTGTGAGGTTGCACAGTTGTTCTTTCTGACCCTGTTTGTTTTGCTCTTGAGTTCTGAGCAGTGCTGTGCCTTTGGGGAGCTCTGCTCTGTGCAAATTGCATGTGTGTGTGTATGAGTGTGTGGAGCAGTTGCACATGTTCTGCCTGACTGTGCTGTGGGTGTACATGATTTTAGCTCCTTGTGTTCTCTCTGCAGCTGAGGTAGGATTCTGAACAGGGCTTGGTTGGGGTATTTTTATTACTTCCTTTAAATTTGTGTCAGTTCAAGATTTGTAATATGCTCTGTGTCTTTTCTTTGCTCTTTGGTTTAGGTTTTTATTTGAAAATCAGACTCCAGCCCATGTGTATTATAGATGGAAGCTTTATTCAATTCTTCAGGCAAGTAGAATTTTCATGATAGTTCATAGCTTCAAGCATAGTGAAGTAAAATAACAACAAAGTAAAAATACTTCTGGTTTTTTTTTCATAGGGGGATGCTCCAACCAAGTGGAGGACAGAAGATTTCCGTATGTTCAAAAATGGATCCTTCTGGAGGCCACCACCATTGAATCCATACCTGCATGGGATGTCAGAAGAGCAAGAAACGGAAGCGTTTGTGGAGGAACCGAACAAGAAGGGTGCACTTAAGGAAGAGTATGTACCACCACTGATGGATGGTGCTGCCTTGGTAGCTGGTCTGCCTGGGTTTGCCCCTTGTGCTTTTGGAGCTCTAATGTGTCATCCCCTAAGTTTTCATACTTGTCATGGTATCATGTATGTGTCTGAGTGTCTCTTCACCTCAGTGCTTCTGATCATACTTGTAGCTAAATACATTCTTGACTTGATTAGATTTGTCATCACTGAACCTTTCATTCCCATGTTATGAACCCTTAATTTGAAAGGGATTAGGAAGATGAGAGTTTTTTCCCATTTTTTGCTGCTGTCTGTAGCTGAGGATATGTAGCATCTTTCTCAACATAGTTATGACTCACAAACTAAACTGTTGCTGTAATCTTAAACTTACTGATGCTGCTCATCAGAAATTAAAATGGGGAGAAGTTGTTAATAAACAGGACGAGAGAGATCATCAGATTTCTTTGCTGTGAAGTGTCAGTGTACTGGGAGTGGCTGTTGTACTGGAAATAGAGACCTGCTTTTCTTAATTTTGCTGCTGTTGTTACAAATGTATTACTAACATGTGGAATTTGGTTTTTTTTTATTCTTCTCATCATAATTACCACAACAGTCATGCCTCTGTAGCTTTTAATACACAGTTTGTTTCTTATAACTTATTTTGGAAAGGCTCAAAAAGAGATTCTTTTAAAAAAGTTCTCTGCATATGGAGGTCAGGAAAAATGCGAAGTAATTATTTACTAGCTTTGTGAATCTAGTGTTTCTTATTCTGTACCAGTAATGACTTGCATGCTTTAGATTTATCCATTTGGTTTAGGCCTAAACTAAATCCAGAAAGATAATGACTTTATTAGAGATACTAATATGCTTAATTAAGTATTTATCAGGTATTTTTCCTTGATTTCTGTATGTAATCAGGACTTGAGTGAGAATTTTTTGCACTTTATGAACCACTTGAAGAACTCAGGCAGAAGAATATAAAAATACTGAAAATTGCTTTTCTCCTAAAGATGGAAAACAAAACCATTGTTAAATGGAAATTCGCGGAAGTACTTTCCATTTCATATTGAAAGTATTAAAATTCCTGGTATTTCAGACAGAGGGACAAACTAGAGGAAATTCTGCGTGGCTTAACACCTCGGAAGAACGACATTGGTGATGCAATGGTTTTCTGTCTCAATAATGCGGAAGCTGCTGAAGAAATTGTGGACTGCATTACAGAGTCATTGTCCATCCTCAAGACTCCTCTTCCTAAGAAGGTGTGGAGATTTTCTGCAGTCTTGTATTTTGGGGAAAGAGCTCCTTTAGCAGCATGTGCATGTAATTTACAAGCATTATTTCATAAGTTTTAGGTAGTACTGAAGTGTGGACTTGAATTTAAGTATCATCTCTTCCTGTGGAATTTTGTTACATATTTTTTATTCTTTCTTTCTGAAGTTGCTTGTAAGTAATATTGTGCCTTACTGTGAAATTAAGAACAGTGAAATGATCTGTTCAAATGAGACAATTAAAATAGGAATGCCATGATTCTCCTTTGTAATGCTCTGGTGATATGTTACAGTAGTTAGTACCCTAGAGTGTAACAGGGGGCTAGTTGCCTCTTAAAATGTTTATTAATAATATAGCTGTGCTACACTTAATTCTAATTAGGTACTTCCAGATAGTTTAAACTGTCTCGTATTCTTTCTGAAAATGCCTTTATTTTCAGAAGAATTTAAATTGGACTTAATTTGACCGTTTTTTATTGTAGATCGCAAGATTGTATCTAGTGTCGGATGTGTTATACAACTCTTCAGCTAAAGTTGCCAATGCTTCCTACTATAGAAAATTGTAAGTATATTTTAGGGGATTGGCAGTTAAAAAAAACCCTCTTATATTCATCTCTGTATCTATATCTCCGGATAAACATGGTTGTAGGAAATTCAGACTTTTCTGTGCTACTGTTATTACAGACTGATGGTATTTATATCTGTTTGCATGAACATGTGTAAGATGTAGCATGTTGGTAATGCAGAAAATGCATGTGCCCTATGCAAGGGACCACTTGCTGCATGGAACTCCATAAAGGTGAGAATACCTCATCTGCCTCTTGACAGAAAGAGCCTGTAGATAATATTCAAGATATGGTATAGCAGATAGTTCAAGCAAAGAAGTACCTTTTAGAACAGATTTATTTTTATTAAAATGAGGGTGGTGTAACTTTCCATAAACCTTGGATAAGGTATAAGGGGATATTATATATTTTATTTCTAAGGTGCTGAGAAGAATTGAGGAAAAATGTCCATGGGACAGTATCTTTGTCATATTTGTGTCTAGTTCCTGGAGTCTCTTTAGTGTTAGGGCAGCATGGTGGGAAATACTCAGCATGTTCTAAAACTAGTGATTGCAATTGATGTTTCTTGTTGCAGTGTGTCTGTGTTGTGCTGGTTTATTTCTTGCACATTGTGAGAAGCTCAAAGGAAGCTGGGCAGCTGTTGCTCACTGTGCTTTCATTGAGGGCCTCACTGAATAAATTAGAATACAAGTATAACTAAGAATTTTTTTAAAATACAGATTGAATTTTGAGACAATTCTTTCATTCTGTTTAAGGTTGTAAAACTCCTTTTATCGTCCTCCAATCTTTCCAGGGTGTATAAAGAGACTGCAGCAGATGTGAAGATCTCCCTTCACAGTTCTGTTGTTGTCCAAGGTGATTTAATATATAGTAATCATATTTGCTTTATAGTTCAGTTTATGGCTACTATAAGGATCAGAACCTTGTGCTTTTGAGTCCTGTGTCCCAGGTATTTTCATGAATTGTGTATGTCCAGAAAACATATATGACAAAGTTTAACTAAAGAAATGTATATGTTTAATTCTAGTTTTGAAACAAAATTATGTCAGATATTCTCTGATCTCAATGCTACTTACCGTACAATACAAGGCCATTTACAGTCTGAAAATTTCAAGGTATGTATTTCATTGTTATTTACATGACATAGAAGTCACATAAATGTTCCTGCACAAGAGATTGCATACTATGATAGGTGGCTTAGACATCGATGTCTCTATTTAGGCTTTAAAAAGAATAATTTTTAAAAAGTTTTCTGTTTTGCAACGGTAGCCTTCAATTAAAGAAGGAAATGAGCATCTGCCAGCTGAAGTGTACCAGTAGATGTACAGTTGAGGAGTTGAGAGGATATCTATCTATCTGTCTGTCACTTGAATTGCAAAAAAGGCTTTCTAGCTTTCTTACTGTTCAGGGCCACCTGTATTTCAGTATCAGATGTGAACTTTGGTGGAAGTGCTCAGTGTGGGAAAGAAGCTCCTGAGCAGAACAACAAAGTTACTTCTAAATGGGTTTTTTTGTGTCAAGCTTTATTTTAGAGTTCTGATAAGCAGTCTGACCATGGGTACTTGAAAGTGGTTTTTGAGGTGAAATACTCTCTGCTTCTTGTGCTCGACCCTTTTCCTTCTGTTTTCATGATGCCTCTGCACTCTTTATTTTTCAGTCAGAAGCTTTAAATACATAGCTTATAGAATAGTTAATTTGTGTGTATTAAGATCTTCATCCTGGTTGTCCTCCTTCTGCTCTCAATTGCTCTAGATTGAGAATCAGTTTTAGTTATCTGCTATTTTAAAACTTCCTTAAATTATTTGATAAAGAGAGGCAGATTTTTTTAATGTATCTACATCTTCAGTTACATTTAGTGTGTCAAACTTGAACTGAAACACATGTTTTCAAATATGCTTTTTAAAAAGGAATATGTTATTTGCTTTGGAAGGGACTTTAAAGATCACCTGTTCCAACCCCCTGCCATGGCCAGAGACACCTTTCACTGAACCAGGTTGCTCAGAGCTCCATCCAGCCTGGCCTTGAACACTTCCAGGGGTGGGGCAGCCACAGGTTCTCTGGGCATCCTGTGCCATTGCCTCAGCACCTTCACACTGAAGAATATCTTGATAATAGTTAATCTAAATCAACCCTCCTTTCATTCTCCCCTTCTCCTGTCTGAAAGAAATCTTTCTCCAGCTTTCTATTAGCCCTTTGGGGTGCTAGAAGGGGCTCTTAAGGTCTCCCCAGAGCCTTCTCTTCTCCAGGCTGAACAAAATGGCAGTAGGAACACAATTTCAGTTCAATAAAATGTGTAACCCAATGTTAATTTTAGTTATTTTATTTTACAAACAGATATCTTCTCTTAGATTTGGTAGAGGCACCTCCTTCGAACATTGGGGCAGAATGAAATTTACTGTCAGGGTAGAACTGGCAACAGCCAAAATGGATAATGTAACAGGAATTTAAAGGGAAAATGAAACCCAAGTGAGATTTCTTGAAATGTAGTTCCTATATATGTATTTTTGTAAAATTACTAGTCTTCCCCAGCATGGTATCATTGTAATATACTTCAGTATGGAACTGCTTAAGAATAGTTGTCTACAGTAGTAGTTCTCTGTGGTCTTTTTCCCATCACATAAAATTTCTCAATACAAATGTTTTAGCATTTATTTTTTCCTCTTGCTTCTAGCAACGGGTGATGACATGCTTCCGAGCATGGGAAGACTGGGCAATCTATCCAGAACCATTTCTGATCAAACTACAGAATATTTTCTTGGGACTTGTAAATATCATGGAAGATAAAGAAACAGAGGTAAGTGACCTCAGGAGTGATACTTGCAGACAGCAGGGAAAAAATGTGTTAATATAAAATAGAGCTGGCAAGGATTATTTTGCTCTCTTTTAGGGTGAATAAACCTTTCTTTCTTCCAAGTCCTTGCTCCAAAAGAGAGGTGTAACATATTGTCAGAAGAAAATACTGTTTATTCTGTTGCTATGTTTCTTGCTTGTAGATTAGGTGATGCGATGGAGTTACAGTGTGAAAGTGTTTCAGAGCAAAGACTAGTACAGAATAAAAGGTATTTCCTTTGTGCTGGAAATATTCTGTAATACCTGTCTTTGAATTCTGAATGGAGTTTCAGGCATTGTAACTGTGTGGAAAGATGCCTTTCAGAGCAGTGGGAGGGAGGTCTGTAGTATAATTTAACTAAAGCTGATTTATTGGAGTGGAAAAGCAGGGTGAATACACACATATGAAGGACAGTGCCTGTACATAACAAGTTAGAATACACAGCTGTATTTCTAATTTGTGTGTTCCTTAAATTGGTGTTCCTGCTAAATAGTCTGTGTCTGTTGTTCATTTTACTGGTCTTGGGGAAACTTTCATATCAAGGAGTTATGATTTATCTGACTCTAATTGACTGATTTTGAGCTAAACTTCAACTTAATAGCTCTTCTTTTGAGTATAGGTATTGGAAAGCTTCCAGTACATTGTGGACAAATTCAAGTTCTTGCCTGTAATTTTTTATAGGGAGATATTGTTATGTTATTTCCCTTACAATAACCAACTATACTGCTTAGCAAAAATTGTTGAAGTAGATATTTTGGGGGTTTTGGTGTTTATAAAAGTGCTTCTTTAAAAAGAAATTATTTGATAATTGGAGAAGTAAAGAAAAGCAATATAGATTTGTGCTTGAAATAATGGCATATTATTTGCTTTCAGGAAGTACCAGATGATCTTGATGGTGCTCCCATTGAGGAAGAGCTCGATGGTGCTCCACTAGAAGATGTGGATGGAATTCCTATTGATGCTGCTCCTATTGATGATCTGGATGGAGTCCCAATTAAATCGCTGGATGATGATCTTGACGGAGTTCCTTGTACGGAATGTTTCAACTTTCAGATTGATTCTTCAGTCTTGGATCTTTTCTTCATGCGTAGTTTTTAGAAATACAGCCTAGAATTGATCTGGCGTGTAGCTTTGTAAAATGTTGATTAATTTCAATATGCTGTACTGTCTTTAGACACAGGAGGTGTTTTCTGATGCTACACAGCAGGACCTAAACCTGGTTTCTTACTTTGCAAATGCTAAGATTGTATAATCTGTTTCATTGTTTAATTCTGACTGTTATCTTAGTACTTTTTGGTTTCAGCTTCTGAGAAGCTTTCTAAGTTATTTTTCTGTGTCTCTTTCTTCACCAGTGGATACAACTGAAGACTCAAAGAAGAATGAGCCTATATTTAAAGTTGCCCCTTCAAAGTGGGAAGCAGTGGATGAATCGGAACTGGAAGCTCAAGGTTAGTTCTGAAAGTATCTCTTCTGAAGTGAACTGAAAGCATAATGTCCCTTATGTAATGATTGTTTTCAGGTGATTTGTGCTAAAATGCTAATAGGATTCACGTTGTAACGTACTAGGATTTTCTGTTGTAACTTGTTCACTGAATTTTTAGCCAAAAAGGAAAACAGTGTGTTCTGTTATGGTTATTCTCCTTCAATAACCTATCAACCTTTGAAAGTAACTTTCAGTTTATTAAGAATAAATACTGAAAGCAAACAACAAAAATCTGGGCATGTGGCTGGCAGTCTTTTTAAACCTTGGTTTGAAAGATAATGTTTTACAAACGGACAAATACTTGTGTGGTTTTGAAGGATTTACTGCAATGTGATGTGCAGTGTGAGTGAATAGCTCTGTGAGTAGTAAATATTCTGATAATGGGCTGGTTGAATATTTCTGTGAAATAAAAGTCTGTATTAAGTGCTAGGTGCTGGTAAATTTTACCACACTGTAATTCTTATTCTATGTTATATACTGTATATATCTTACTATAATTATATTACAAATACTGATTTTCAGATTAAGTGGTAGCTTTTTTGTTAAAATTATCCTGCTGTCTCTTCTAGCTGTTACTACTTCTAAGTGGGAGCTTTTTGACCAACATGAAGAATCTGAGGAGGAGGAAATTCAAAAGTAAATACTTTTTCATTCTAAGGAAAACATATTTATTTTATGTATCTAACGTGGAGTTTTTGGAACGCCTTATTAGATATATATGTTATTTATGACATCAGTAGAACAAAAATGAAATCTTGAAAGTAGGAAAATAAGAAAATGGAGAAAACTCAGGATTTTAGTGCAGCATGCTTTCAACCCCCATGATTTTTTTCTACCATGATAAATTACATCTTTTGGTAGAGTTTTTAACTATAGTCTTTGAATTTGTGCTGATTTGAGAATTCAGCATCAAATAGTAAGAGCTAAGGTAGTAGTATGGAAATCTTGCTGTCAGGTATCTATGAATGAATTTAAACCTCTTCCTTCTGCTGCTGAGACAAGCGCAGTGAGTCACGTTCTGAGGTGTTTCATTGGATGCTGATAGGCTCCATGCCAGCAGAAGTTGTTTTTGAGTTGTCTTTTACTTTGCTCTTCAGGCAGCTGAGAGGGTCTGTTAGTTAATGCTGTAAATACTTCCTGCATTGCAGGGAGTCCTGCAGCACTCTAGTGGCCAGCCTGGAAATACAATTTTGGGTATCTGCCATCTCTCAGGTTTATCTCCCAAAAGCAAAAGTAGTAAATATTGTTCTTCTATTAATATACCTGAGAAGCACCATTACAGCACTTAGAGTTTCTGCTGAGGGAGTGGGTTTCCTTTTGTAGCTGAGATAGATATGTATTTGATGACTGTAAATTTCATTAATTCTTCTGCACTCTGTTTCTATGAAAAGTGTAAATTGTGTGAGTAATAAAAACTAACAGTTTAATTAAATAAAAATGAAAGATGGATACTAATTTGTAGCTGCAGACCTACAGATTTAACAGATTTCCAAACTAGTAACTAATCCTAGAAACTAAGAGAAGTAGTACATTTCATATATACTTAAGAGATCTTAGTTAATTCTATATGTTTTCTTTAAAGTCAAGAAGAAGAAAGTGAAGATGAAGAAGACACCCAGAGTTCTAAGTCAGAAGAACAACACATGTATTCCAATCCTATTAAAGAGGAAATGCCTGACTCCAAATCATCAGTCAAATACTCAGAAATGAGCGAAGAAAAGCGTGCCAAACTCCGAGAGATAGAGGTGAGCATGGGGTGTTTCGTGCCATCCTTCTGTACCTTTCCAGTCCTCAGCCCTTCCTGAGTTCTCTACATACAGCTGGGAGTTGTTTTTACTGAAATAATTGTAGTCCTGTTATATAGCGGATTTTGTTGTAGTCCGGTGTGTTTTTGTAAAGGTTAGTTTGTTCACACCCTTACCTTGCCTGGTTTTGATGTTTAAAATAAAATAAAAATAATAATATTTTGACTGTAAAAATGAAGAATAGAGTCAGGGCATATTGCCTGTTGAGAAGGACTGTTTTTTTTCACTGTTCTGTTTCAGTACCACTGTAGCTTTAGATCACTTCGATGCCCTTACACTTTCCTCTCCTTGGAAAATTAACTTTTGGGATTAACTTTTGGATATGGCCTTAGTCCTCTACCTTTCTTGTTTTTTCTGTTTCTTGCCTTGAAGTATCTGTATTTTATTGCATTTTAATGTGTCTCTTTTCACTGTCTCAGCCATCAAACAAAGAAGTAGATACAGCTAACCCATGTAGTCATGAGTTGGAGGTATTTTAATTGAAGCCCTACAGGGCTCCCTGGTTCTTCTTTCCTTTCTCCAAGTACACGTGTTAGTGTAGCTGTTCAGCTTAATCAACAGAGGTTGTTATGGCTTTGTTCTGGCTTCTGAGCTTGTGCTTGACTGAGAAGGTAGCTAGAACTGGAATTTAGCACGAGCTTTGTGTATCAGTGAAGCCTTTCTGACATACACTGCCATGTAAAATCAGGTGTAAGGTTGTATGTGACTTCCTGGCTTGTATTCAGACCTGGGTTACATTGAATACCAGAATTTTTGTAGCTTCAGTTCAGTGCCTTAAAATGATATTAAGAAGTTGCTAAATGCTTATTGCAGTTGCAGCATCTCCAAACGACAGGTTATAACCTGGGTAGTGTTTGGAAGGTGGAATTGTGGCTGCCTACCTGTTCATGCTGTACGGTGCATGTTAGCTACAATCAGACATTGGCAAAGTGTCATAATATTCTTTTAAGATGTTTAGCCAATAATATTTTAGAATGTCACAAATGTTGTTTCTCTTAAATATGCCTCCTTTTAACTATTCAGATTTTATTGAAATTAATAGACTCTCACTAAGCACTTAGAAATCTCTTGCTTTGCACAGCAGTTTGATAGTTCCTATATACAGCCATATTAAGTGAATAAATTCTGAATGTGAGAAGCTGAATAGGATTTATGTCTGACCTGACTCACGGTGGCAGTATCTTTGTAGAAAATACATGATGTTAGACTAATGAAAGTACAAGTGAAACTAATTTTCATGTTGCTGTAATATTGATTGTAGCTGTTATGGAAAGAGCTCCTTTCAGCCTGAGTATCTGTTTTACAGACATTATCTTGGCAGTGTGGAGGCAGATTAGTTAGTGATTTGCTTTATCATTGTCAGTTTTACACTGCACAAGTGTTTTAAGTTCTTTCAGCATTTTATAATGTCAGTAAAAGTTTTAGGTGGCAAATATTTGAGTTTTTCAAGTGCATGCTTGCATTTTATTCTTTTTGGTAAGTAAATTACCATTTTGATTTCAGACTTTCGGAATTGCCTGAAGAGGAGAAAAATTTTTTTGCTTTTGAGAACATTTCAGACACTATGTAGGAGTACTTAAAATTTTGCTCAAGTTTGTCATTGACAGGAAAGTACTCCCTGTACTACTTCAAAGCATTCACACTCATGGTTCTTCTTAGTATGTACCCAATCCCTGCCAAAACCCACATCCATTGTTAAATTTGAGGAAAGGAGCTGAGGAAAAAAACAACCAATTACCAGCTTTAAATTATGCCATCTAATAGGCACTGTAAAAAGTGTTGTGTAAAATATTTGGCAAAAAAATTGGTGAAATTTAATTCTCCAGCTGCACGGTCTATACAGTGACTGCCAGGGAAGCTAAAAAATATTTTTTCATGCGTTTTTTGGAAATTCATTAATAAAACAACAATTCTTTCTCTTGGCACAGTTAGTAAATTAAGTTTGTTAGCTGGAAGGAGAAAGTGAAGAAACAAACTTTGGCCTCAGCCCTTAGACTGGTGCCATCAGAGGAGGCAAGTTAGTAACCTTTTGTTTGCTTCCTTCATGCCCCTGTTGATCCTTCTGAAGTGTGAATTCTTTCCTGAACTTAGCAGGAGCAGAACCTTTCCTATAATGCTGAAGAACAGTGATTTCTTAATGTTTTTTTAAGTGTGGAAAGACTGGCACTTTGCTTTATATTATAACTCAGATTTCAGAGTGATCTTTCTGGTGGTTTGTGTGTCTTTCTTCCCCCCTGAGACATCTAAAAAAAGGTGTTTTCCTCTCTGTAAAGAGACCTTAGTGCTATGAAGTGGTAAAAAAAGGGGAATTTTATTATTTAAATTGTTCATTAAGCATGTTCCCTTAGAGTGTAGATAAACTCACAGACAAAATGAAGCAACATAGTCCTCTTTGGACCTTTATCTAGGGTATCTTACTTCTGCCTCCACCTTGCTGCACAAATTTTGATAATCCTACTCCAAACAGAAATGCACAGCACAGGTTTCATCTGCAGCAGGAGGCAGGCTCATCACAAACTTGCAGAAGGTTTTAGTTCATCTAGACCAAAAAAAAACCAACAAACCCCAGACAAAACAAAACCAAAACAGCCCCCCAAAAAGAAAAAAAAAAAACATGGAGAAATTCTGACATTTGCTTAAGTTTGTGACTCTGTCAGGGATACTGCAGCAAATTTAGTGTTACATTTAGCAGCACTTGGGAACTGAATTTGGTTGCTAAGCTTGTTAGCACATGAAAAAGTATTATGTTAGTAAAAATCAGTTCTTTCAAATCAGCCACTCTGTGCAAACAACCCTGAAGAGGAGGTGCATTGTTTTATGTCCTAATTATGTCAGTCATTTGATTTTAACATTCAGGGTTAAATGGAAAAAAAAGCAGTTTCCAAAGGAAACTTTGAAGTAGACAAGAGAAGTTGAAAGAATATATTGACACCTGCAGTAAATTATTTCATTTTGAAAGGAAAAAAACAGACAATGACCCAAGAAATACAAGGGTGCAGTGTACTAATGATGGGAACAGAATTTAGTAGAGTAACAGAAAAAAATTCCCTCTATTTTTAGTTCTCACCATGTCTGTAAACAACTGCAGGTGCTGCAGATGAGTGTGTGGTTTTGTTACTTGGATCCATTTTAAATAAATTTAGTATCTCTGTGCACAAGCTTGTATAGAAGGAATGAAGAATACAGATTACATGTAATGGAAATTTCATTTTCAGCCACCTGCCTAACTGGATAATAATAAGTCACATAATCTAATGGTCAGTATTATTTTCACAGCTTAAGGTGATGAAGTTTCAGGATGAGTTAGAGTCTGGGAAAAGACCCAAGAAGCCAGGCCAGAGTTTTCAGGAACAGGTTGAACACTATAGAGACAAGCTGCTCCAGAGGGTAAGAACTGTTCTTTATGTTTGCCTCTGATTCTGTGATAGGCTTCTATTGAGCTTATTGAATGTAAGGTGGCTTTAAACACAACAACACATGGTTCTTGTTAAAATACTGCTGTAATATCAAACTGCATGTCTAAGTCCCAGTGCTTTCTGCAGAATACATACAATCTCCTTTTTTAATCCAAGTCCTGTGGTGTTTGCCACTGCACAGCTGGGTATCATAGCCTGTGTAGAAACCTTAGGGACCACTCCTGCACCTAACAGCAAACTGTTAGGTGTGGGAAAGCAGAGGGGCTGCCTCAGTTGAAGATGTTCATCACACTTCTCATTCTGCTTTTAGTAATTGATCTGTTGTGCTCAAGGCTTCCCAAGGAAGTGAGAAATAGTTTTAGGCAGCATATCTGATTCTCCAGTGTCTAAGCTTCCTGAATAATTCCAGCTCATCCATTCACCCAAATGTGACTAATTCTGTACCATGACCATTTTTAGAAGACCTCTCTGGACTACGAAGTCAGAGTGATTTTAAAAGTTAACCTCTTATATGTGATGCGATGTGATCTCAAACCTTTGAAACATAATGAACAAACAGCCTCTTTGGACATTGCATATAGTGAGGAAGGATAAATGACAGTTGCTTTTCCCATCTGGTTTTACAGCCTGACAGATCACTGATGGAATTCAGTACCCATGCACTTCCTTGGAAGCTAAATACAAATAAGCAGTTTTCCACCAGGCGTTTTTCTGTCACTTGTAATTTGCATTATTTGGTGCTCAGTGTCTGACTAATTCACAATACCTTGAAGAAAAAGACTTTTAAAAATTAGGTAAACTGTTCCCTGAAGGAGATGCACACGTTGGAGGATGATGTTTGCAGTTAAGACTTTATAAGGCTTTTATAATTTTCTTTCTAAATGTAGTTGTATTGTAAAACTTTCCACTTTCTTGGCGTTTTCTGTAAAATAAATGATTTGTAGTAAGCACAGAATGCTTAGTGAGACAGTAGATTAAACAAACAGAAATAGATAATAACAGTCCTGATAAAATTTTAGATGCCTTGTGTTGAATTAGTTCAACCAGCTCACAATATTTTGGATTTTTAATGATTGTCTCTTTCACTTTCAAGAAAGAAATATTTATAACCATTACTATTTATTATTTAAATTTATTATTTAAATTATTTAAAACAATTATTATTTATTTATTGAAATAATATTATTAAAATATTATTTAAAACAATTTTTTAAATTAATAGTAAATTATTTAAAACAATAGTAACTCTGTTGTTAAGGGAATAAATTCGTCTTTTGCTTTAATGCCATAATAAAGTTAGTTTTTGTAACAATAATGTCATACTGATCCTGATTACATTTCCCATGAACTTGGTGACTGGTTGTTCTTTTTTATCAAACTTACAATAAGCTTTCCAAGAGTAATTTCCCAGCAGCATTGTATATTGTTTAGAGACTTAGAGCTATTGCAAACACTATTTATTCTTGTTTATCAAGATAAAATACATAGTTATGCTGTCAAATAAACCTGGCACATCTTGAGAGTGCAGTGATTTTAGAGATACCTAACAGCAGTTTGTATGAATAGGTGTAAGGATAAGGACACTTGCAGATTTTACTGCTAAGCCTTCCCAGTAAAAAGAATGTGAAACTAGATGGGGATAAATGTCCTGGTATTTCCTGCACTTAGGTTACCTCCCCTTCCTCTACTGTTTTTTCTTTTCTTTTTTTATTTTTTCTTCACCATCCCCCCGTTTTTTCCATTTAGCTAAGTCACCCGTTCTTTATCTTCTTTATGGGCTATGCAAGGAATATCTGTTTATTTTTTGCCATGGAATTGATTTTTTAAAATGAATGATCAGTACTAAAAACCACAGCATCTGATCTCTGTGTTCAGACTTGCTGATGAGGTTTATTTTTGTGTAGTTAATTTTCTGTTTGACAGACAGACTCGGTGTGCTCAGGGTTTGTATTTTCTCTCAAAATGATCCTGTTGATACCTAGAAATGGACTATAGTTGTTTGTTTTTGACAGAGTAGATGTTATTGCAGAATCTTGTTTGTATTTTTGTTTTGTCTTTAGATAACTTCTAGTTATGAGTGTATATCAATTTTCAGTATGGATTAATATGGATGACTGTACATGTTTAAAGTAAAAAGAGGTTCCTGGTATTCTTCCATGTTTAATTTAGTATAGAAAATGTATTACAGCTGTAATATTTCCCTGAAATTTGTAACATTAAAGACTGTTCATTTCCAGTTAGACACTCTGATTTTCTCACACAGGCTGATATCCCTCATGTTTTTGTCAGTTGGTGTTACAGTAAATGTTTGTGCTGTGTCTCAAGCAGGAGGAAAGGCCTGAAGAACTGGGAGGGTGTGACCATTAGTTCAGATATGTGCTGTGTTCCATCAGTGCTCACTGCTTTTATGCTGTTTGTCATTAGCTTGATTGCCTCTAATAATTACTCACACCTTATCTGAAATCATGATGTTTCTAATAATCTAGGAAAAAGAAAAAGAGATGGAAAGAGAACGGGACAGAGACAAAAAGGACAAGGAAAAGTCTGAGACCAGGTCCAAAGATAAGAAGGAAAAAGAGGAATGTACACCAACACGAAAAGAGAGGTATGGCTCTCCTTGGACTGAAGTAGATGGGAGGAAAACCCTCACAGTATCTTTGCAGGCAATGGAAGCCTTGAAATCGCACATCTTGTGTCACACATCTGATTTTAAAAGAAAAATGCAGAACCAGCCAACAGAACAAAAAACCAAACCCCATGCTTTGGCTATTAAAACATTCTCCAAAATGTTAGAGGAATTGTCATTTTTACCCTGCCCCAAGTGAGGTCCCTTTGAACAGAGCTGCCCTTTGGCTCATTTATGCCCTGGGGAAGCATGGTCAAATGACTACCGGTTGCAGACGGGGTTAACTGTCTTGTGGCAGTGGATTGCCTGCAGTGCCTCAGTCAGAGAACTGTCCAGAGGAGTGGCCACAAGTGAGACACAGTGGTTTCAGTGTTACTGCTCTCACAGTGCAGATGCTGAGCAGCTGGGTTTGGGGTAGCTGACTGGACACTGATCGTCTGATGCTTGCATAGCCAAACTCTGCCGTGATTCTAAGTAGAGCTATGGTAAAAGGCCTTGCTTTTCAGGGAGCTGTGACAGAATGTGTTTACTATTCTACCATCATTATTACCAAATTACTCACAGGCCTTAATTTCTTTTCAAGCAGAGAAAATCTGTTAAACTTGTTAACACATTAAACTTGGGGGTTTTTTTGTTTTAATAACAAAAAGCCTACAATACCTTAATTACTGACAAGTAACTGACATGACATTGGCTAAAGCCAAAGCCCGCAGCGGGGAGCAGGTGTTCTGACCGTGTGTTTTCCCTCCCCGCGTGCGTGCTGCCTGCCGCGGCAGGAAGAGGCGGCACAGCGGCTCCCCCAGCCCGTCCCGCAGCAGCGGCAGCCGCCGCGCCAAGTCGCCCTCGCCCAAGTCGGAACGCTCGGAACGCTCCGAGCGCTCCCACAAGGAGAGCTCCCGCTCCCGCTCCTCACACAAAGATTCTCCCAGGGATGTCAGTAAAAAAGGCAAAAGGTGAGCTGGTATCTTCTCTGGTTCAGGGAGCTGGTGGGTGTGTTTGGCTGGGGTTTGGGGAGCAGGGGGGTGTTTCAGCAGAGCACATCTGATACTGGGTAGCAGGCTCTCGCAGTACTCTGCAGTGCACGTTCCTCATTAATGCCTTCGAGCACTGAGGCTGGAAGTCCACGCAGCCTCCTGCCCTGATAATCAGCTCCAGACTCTGCTCTGCTATGGTTTTCTTTTCCTGTTTACTGATGATTTTAAGAAATGCTGCATTTAACCGGAGCACCTTACTGCTTTCTTAGCTTTTTATTTTCAAAAGATGTCTTCTGTAGTCCTAAAATTCCTATAGCCCTTCTAAAGAACCTCTCAAATTGGAGTGACCATGCAGCTTTTCACTGATGATCAGCTTACATGAAGCTTCTCACTCCCACAGTTCGTTTTTTAAGGGGAAAAAAATCAGATACTGCTTATGGGGTTTTGTTTCCGAGATAGGTATTTCCTAACCTCCACCCTGACACAAATATTTGTCTTTAGTTAATGTTAAACTTGAGGTGAAATTTTATTATTCTGCTGAAGCTGCTGTATCTTGGAAGTTCACCTTCCATTCTTTTAGAGGTGTAGAATATCTCACTGATACAAAATTCCTCAGTCAGGCTGAGGAATACTCCTTTGATGGTGTTGAAAAAATCATTGCACTTAACTACAGTATTCTTGTGCTTATATAAATAAGGATTTCAAATAAAAGTAGAAAAGTAGTTGAGATTTTATTTTTAGAGTTAATATGATGCTCATTGAGGTATCATTATATTAGATCAATATGTTAGGGGTGGGTTAGATGACAGTAAATTTATTCAGTGTTCCTTCTTTTTCTGTGGGGCTGGATCACAATCTGAATATGCTTGATGAAAATCAAAAGTATTTCACTGTAACACAATTGAACATAGTTTTTCATTTCTGTGTGGACATAGGCTGCAATTCATACAAGAGCCAAGCTAGCTGAGACTCATATGAAAGGCTGTGAGTTCCTGGTGTGGGTTTAAGGATATGAGTGTGTGTTATTTTTCATGTGGGTTCTAAGCACTGAAGTTAAGCCCAAAATACTCTCAAAACCTTATAATGTAAAAATGGCCTTTTTTTCCAAAAGCAACATGTCACCCTGTTACTTTCATTATTAGGGAAAAATGTTTTCTGCCTCGTTTGGCTCAATAAATGAATACAAATAACTTCAGGAAAAGATGCTTTTCTCTATTAATATTTGACTTTTTTTTTTTTTTTGGCAGGTCGCCATCTGGCTCCAGGACACCCAAAAGATCAAGAAGATCACGATCCAGATCCCCTAAAAAGTCAGGGAAAAAATCCAGGTCTCAGTCCCGTTCTCCTCACAGATCTCACAAGAAGTCAAAGAAAAGCAAACACTGACATTGTTAATATTTTTTATGATGCTGTCACTTACTGGAAATGCGGTTTTGTTTTTGTGCCTGAACAGTCTGTTTAAAAACAAAAAAGCATTCCTGATTTTTTTTTTGTGAATGCACGTGTATACTCATGAGTATCTGCATCTGTAGACCTGTCATTGTTTTATATTGTACAAAATATCTTCATTGTGACTATTTCCCAAAAGAAACATTTTTGTGTTTAGAAGTTTCATCAGAAATGTGTGTAACTGATCTGCTGGCAGTAGTGATATTTTGTTTTTAGAATGTTGTGACATAGCAGAAATAACCCAAATGTTCCCCCTTTTTGTAGCTTTGACAATTTGAATTAGATTTCAAATAAAATCTGAACAGAAAATGAAGGTGTTGTTTTCTTGCCCCAGTGGTGATGCAGATCCCAGAGGGAGTGCAGAGTTTGTTTGGGAGTTCTGTGTATTTCAGACAGACTGGGGTGCTGGATGGTTCAGTGCAGCGTGGCTCTGTTCTGTTCTCACTGGTTTGACTGTCCAGATACAGGCACCTGAATGCAGTGGATGGGGTTTCTTTCCTGCTGTGAGATTTTACTGTAAGAAGAGTCCAGCAGTCTGGTACCTACCCCGATAAGCTTTACAGGTAAATCTTTGCTTCCTGTGTCTGCATTTTAACCACAGGGAACATTTATAACACCACTGTAATGTTTTTGTTCGTTTTTACAAAAGGGCCTCTGCAAAGACACATCCTCTGGGGGTGTGTGTGTAGCATATGTGTGATGTCTCAGTAACAAGCCACCTTTGTGGCACACATGGGGAGCACTAAAGCACAGCATGCCTGAGGCTCTGTGATTTCTTACATATAGATAGAATAATTGCAGCCTTCAGTACACTCTTGTTTTCTAAAGCTGATTTTTCCTGCAAAAGGACACCTTTTGTATTATTTTACTGAATTTATTCCTCTGTTGTGAAAATTCTTGAAGATGGGAAAAATTAAATTTTACTACATATTTATTAATATTTTTTATTTGAGAGGCTGTTTAACTTCTTTTTTTCATGTTAGGCTTTCCCTTCTCCAAACCTGTTCTGTGTCTTAGGCATTGATGTGGCTTTAAATTGCATCACCTCACCATGCAACCTTTCTGTGGGTGGGAGAGGGGGAGGTTTCAGTGTTCATACGTGGAGGTGTGGGGAGATGGAAATAAAATTCTAAAATCAAAAGGGATCTGGCCTCTTGTGAGCTGTCCGTGAAAGCCAAAGGTGTGCTTAGCTGCAGGCACAGAGTGCTGGCTGGTGGCCTGCTGTACATTGTACTGCTGGTACATTGGTGTGCCCACAGGCTTCTCACAGGTAGAGATTTGTAAATGCATTGGGGAAAACCTCTTGGACATGTAAATAACCTCACTGGCTGCCCTTCCAGAAGCAGGATCTAAAAGGTCTTACAAAAAAGAAAACAAAATTTCTCTTTTTTTTTCCTGATGAGAGACATTGTTATAAGATTATGTAAATGGTTGCATGTGTGATGCAAACACCTCACATATGTGATGTGTTTGCCAATGAGAACGCTGCAGTGATCTGGAACACTGAAAATATGAAGAGTGCATGCATACTGTAAAGACTTAGAATGAGTATTGAATAGATGCATTGATAATGAGAAAATAATACACCTTTTATCTGTTTGTAATACATTATAAAGAATCTGTTTTGGAAACGTGCAGAGTTTATTTTTTGTATTTTTTTTCTACCTGTAACATAAGGTGATTCAGGATAGGATTCAGCAGAGATTTTGGTTGCTAAACTATTATAAACAAATTAATTTTTTTCCTTAAATGCTGTGTATTTATACTTGGCACAGACCAGATGAGGCTTTCTAGAAAGAAAAGTAGGTACTAAAATCAGTTGGGGATAGGGAGAATCCTAACTGTGCAGTGGGAAGATGATCACTTCAGATCCAATTAACTTCTTCATTACTTTTATCTTGTAGCTGTTTATAAATGGAGGAGTGATAAATGTCAGTGTTCTGGGTCAAGTGGGACTAAAGATGCTTTGCCACAGGAGTATTTTATCTGCAGAATCAATTGTATATTTCATTTAATAGCTAAAAACCCTCAGGGTAGAAAAACACTTAGCATTTCAGGTACTTTTCAATAATTAATTTTCATTTCAGCTTTTACAAAATTCTCATCAGTGATTATAGAAAGCTTAAGCCAAGTAGCAAGAGAGCACACCCATTAGGGTTTATTTTGTAACTGCTCTATTATGCAATGCCTTTTTCAGTATCTGTTCTCTAAATACCATAGCCATACCTCTTGTTCTTTGCTTTGTGTCCTGGGCTCTAAAACAGCTGATCTTACCCAATGGTCTCTTAAGAGCACTTAAGAATCTGTATCTTTTACTGAATTGCCTGGACTTTTTTGCCCTGTAGAAAAGAGTATCTTTTGATCCTGCTTAATCTTAATTTCCTCCTGCTTTTGTACTTTTGTTTATAGCTTGGCTTTTCTACAAAGAGAAGCGGGAAGGAGGCGACATCTGCTAACAAATATTTTGTAAAAGATGCAAAGTATTACGAAGACTTAAAATCAGGCTTATGAAATTCATTTTTCTTTGGGTCACGTTGTGGTGACAAGGTGCAGTTGCCGTATGCCATTACTATGTGACGTGTGTTTCTGCAGCATTTTGGGTGAAGTGCTGAGTGGGTAATGTGGAGAACTGATCTGGGATTCAGGAAGTAGCATTCAGATGAAGCCTTGTGAAATAAAGTTCTGTCCTGAGGAGGTGCGGTCCTGCGTCTCCCCATGGTTTCTGTGGTGGTAGAGGAAGAAGGAGCCCATTATCCTCTGAGAGCCCTCAGTGTGCGAGTCCAGCTCTTCACTTTGGGAGGCGTGGAGACACGAGTGGGTAACAGGCTCCTCTCCTGCCCTACCTTAGGGAAACCAGAGGGAAATGTTCATTCTTCAGTGTTTAGGCTTGTCCAAAGCAGAGAAAGTGAGTGTAGCTTGTACAGCCTGGTTCTAGCCTGCCTGGGAGCAGCCTGGAACAGAGTGGGGTGACCTTGGGAAGGGAATGTCCCTGGTATGTTCCCAGATCTGTGCTGGATGCTGCTGTCCTGATGGGCTTTGGTGAAGCCTGCCCTGCACTCCTGGCCACCCCCATGCTTATGGGAAGGGCTCCAAGGGCCACAGCTGCAGGTGCATTGCTCTGAGCCAGTCCTGGCCCCAGGCGTGTCTCCGCAAGGCTTGCTCAGACTCAGTGCTGACCTGTGGGCCCCGTGCTGCTGCAGAAGGCCACATAGTGCGTAGAGCCTCCTTGCAACAATTAAAATCTTCCCAGTGTTACAGAAGTGTTTGTCTCTGAACTGCCTTTTTTAAACTCTGACTTCCTTTGGCTTCCCTGCACAACAGCCGCGTGTATTTTTTTTTTTATACTGTTTGAGGAAGAGTTGGTTTCTGAATGTAAGTGCCAGGGTATTATTCAGACACTGTACATGTGCATGTGGTCTCCCCCACCTCCCCTTTGCAGGTATTGAAGTGTAAGAATCAACAACCACTTAGGAACAAGGGTAACAAATCAATGTTTCCCAAAGCATGTATTTAGAATTGCAGCTATCGCTGATGTGGGTTCATCTGTGCTGGTGACATGAGAGCAAAGAGCTCACGTAACACCTTAAAAACCAGAATCTTGGGATGAGAAAAGCAAGGTCAGCCACAAATGGCAAATCTGCTCTGACTAATCACTTGAGGCAGCTTGCTTGTGGGGTTTTCCTCCACAGGCATTGATAGTGCTTCAGTGGAATTAATACTTTGAATAAATAAAAATGCAAAGCATTGCTGTATTTCAGCAGATGGACTGAGGTCTGAACTTGGTAGTTTTTAGATAGGTAGCTTGCTGCATGCACTTTTGTACAGCTGTGTGAAGACTTTGGGGTGGGATAGTTTTCATCTATTCTTGGTCTGCCCTGAATACTTAAGGTGAATATTCTACAGGAGAAGACAGCAACAGTGGCATAACCTAGAGGAGAATTTTAGTTATCTTCTCTTAAAATCAAGCACTGTTCAGGATCAATTAAGCTACTCAGTAAACTGAGATTTATCAAATTACAAACATGATATTGCCAGTCTGAAAATTGTATCAGTTTTCTGAATATGGCTGCTGAGGTAATTTTATTAAAATAACTCATAGTAGTATTTTAAGATTTCTTTTTTCTCAGTGGTGCATGTGCTGTTTCAATACTTCCAATACTTTGGTAGTTCTTACTGCTGCTGGAGCTGCTGCTCCTCAATTTGTAAGCCACGCTTGTAAGAATAACAACTAAAATGCTAATTTAATTTTGTCCAAATCTCTTGCCCTGTAGGATACAGAAGTCTCAGACAATTGCATACTGTTTTTCCTCCACCTGCTTCTGTCTGTACAGTGTTGGTTTTCATGGGTGAGCCTGTGCCATTTGCCACTTCTGATGTCTGGTCTTGTGCTGGGATGTTCTACAGTGTAACTCTGTCATAAGCTAGAAAGTTTTCTGTTTGTGGTTATTTAAAGAGGAAATGGTAGTTTCACGTGCACTTTTTTGTCTTACTTGCTTTTGGGTTTGTATTTTATACAGAAAATTTTCCAACTGACATGGCAACAATAAAATTGTCAGTTTTCTGATTGCCAGAAATGGTTTTATTTTTAACCTGGAAGAGAGCAATGTTCGTGCCTGCTACGCATGAACAGTTCCTTGGCCTCTGCTGCTCGATGCTGTTCTGCCTGTGTTGTCCAAGCCTAATGGCTGCTGCTGTTCTGTCAACAGTGACCTCTGTGCTGCTCTAACTCGTTAATGAGGCATGGGCTGCTCACTCTAGTCTGTATGAATCTCCCTTGAACAAAGGATACTCCACTTGGGGCTGCCGCTGGGACAGGGAGATGATGAGCAGCTCGTTAGCGCTGGCAGCGGTTGGCAGGAGGCCAGGGAGGGCGTGGGGCCGGGGGGCGCTCTGGCGGGAGCTTGAGTGCTGTGGCAGGGCCAGTGTCACACCTTGGTGCTGCTTTGGGGCCAGGTCCTGTTCCAGCCCTCCCTGTGCCTCTTGTTCTCTCCTTCTGTCCTTTCTGCTGCCTTGTTTGACAGCTTGCCTTGTGGAAGGGGTGAGTGGGCACAGGGTGGGCAGGCTCACAGGATGAGGTGCAGGGCAGGAAGGATGTGCAGAACGGGAGCCGTCCCTTAGCAGCCTTGAGCTGCTACAGGCTGTGCCTCTGTCCTTCTCCCCTTTGCTCCAGGGACACTTGAACACAGCACTCAAACCTGAGAGGAGCAAATGCCTCCAAGATAATTTAGGTTCTGCAAGATCTGTGAAAGATGAAAGAGAGGAAAGAGACCTCAGATGCCCCCACAAGATGGGAAAGGCTGGGATATGAACTCT